TAGTCAGCATAGGTCAGTCGGCTAGGCGAAGATACGTTGTTAAACACTCGCCAAAAGTCCTCTACAGAGGTAAAATCCAATACCCGCTTTGAGTACCTTCCCAGTTGTCTTTTTTTTTCAACTTGAGAACAATGATTGCTACTACGACTACTCGCACTACTACTACCTTAGTCTGTGCCTGGTACATGAGCCAGAAGCTCCAGGTGCGCTCTAGTGGATGAGGGGGTCTACCAGTGGGTTTAGCCCCACTTCTACTCGAACACACCTCATCATCAGAGGTGATGCTGATTGACGATGTGGTACCGGACTCTACCAGAGCCCCATGTGATGGTAAGTGCGCCGCCTCGTCGCTCGACAGGACGGCACCGGTAGTGCCAGACATTGCCTCGGAAACTCCTCGATTCATACTGAGAGATACGTTCATTTCCTCATGGCCAGAACCAGTAGCCGTAGTCGTCTCATGGCGCGCGCCCATGAGAATTATTTCGATCGTCTCGGCGAGCGCTGAGTTACTCGACGGAGCGATGGTGTGAAATGTTCTTGAAAAATCCTTCCATCAGAACGACCGCCTTCCGCTGACATTGCTTCACATGCTGTTTACTCCTGTTAACCGCTAGGTTGTCGCTCGCGACTCACTCTTTTAGGAATGTTTTCTTTTTGTATTTCCCACAGAATCCAAGGTTAGGCCATTTTTCATCCTTGTTCGGGACGAGACCTACCCAAAAATCATATCTACGGAAGCATCTTCAAGTAAGGTACTGCTTCGAAGGGCCGCCTTGATGCACACGCCGTGTCATAGTCATTGAGTGGACCTCTAATGCACGTAGTAGAGCGTTTGGGAAGCCGGATAGCAAGTGGTAGGGGAATCAGCTCGACAGCGCAGGATCCTTCCATAATGGAATATTGCAGCATGTACCCTTCGTATCGTGGTCAGGGCAACGGTAGAGCCTACTACTGCTGAGAATGGGTGTAACTGGTGTTGACAAGGTATTATACGAGCACTGGGTAGAATATGGTAGTTGAGTGGGATAGACGGTGATTCCATCGGTACATGTAGCCCATGGTGAGCATCGTGCTATTGCCTATAGAACTTCGATATTCCACAACCACTGGGTTGTCGTGGTTATAGCGTTAGGTTCGTAATGTTGCATGGGTATTACGTCATCATTTCCTGTCCGTATAGTTCGTGTCGAATTCGGGCCGTTATTATGTTTCCGAACGATGATCGTCTTATGGCCAGACATATTCGCCATCGTTCACCTCCATGGCGCAGTCGTCGGTAGCGGCGGCGGCGGCGGCGAGCAGCCATCACAGGCGGAAACGGGCTCGGCATCATCAGAACTCTGGGGTCGGCGGATCCATCGTTAAGGACATTCAAACGATGGAGATGCGGGAGGCCATTAACCGAGATGGCGAGATGGGCGGAGTACTATTGGAACGTGGATATCTCGGTGCGAAGTTGTACACCGGTCCTGACTTTACTACTGGTCTTCTGCCTGGTCAGCATGACCAGATATTGGCTGAGATGAAGTGGGTCCATGCGGATGTGGTAGGGGTGAGGGATCTCAAGCAAGCCCAATGCCGACGGGTAGCATCAGCAGTGAAGGACTATTGGCGGGTACGGAAGAAACAACAGGAGCAAGGAGGAGGGCAGCATGTGAGGTTGGGCAAGATGGTTGATGGTATCGAGTCACGGCGTCAAGGGGAACCAACAGTTGCTCTTACTAAGGCCTCAGCCGATGATATTTTGATGATGGACCGTCACGGTGATGAGGCCGTCTTCTCTGATGAAGAATCTCAATACTCTAACGCTGCCGAGGCACGAGCCTCGATTGACCCCTTGCGTGATATCATCGACCGTCTTAATGATGCTTCGGCGGTGTGGATGCCTGATAAAGGTCCTCCGATACAGTCGGCCACCTCGTCTGGCAGCAGCTCTACGATACTTAGGCCAGCAGTGATGTCCTCTATCAGCGACGACCACGACGATGATGCTGCTGTTTGTAGTACAGTGTTTGTGCCGGGAGTAGTGGGCTTCCCTGATCCTGGCGCTGAGCCGCGGTGGCGGATGAATGAGTTGTTGAGCAACCAACGTACGCTCCTGCATGAGATACAGTTCTCGGAGGCAGCTCGAGCACGACTACCAGCCCTCTTTACGGCGATGGTCAGAGAGATGTCTACCCACCCTGTTGGGGACCAGGAGTCGGTGGTGAAGACTCCACAGAGTATTCCCTCAGCAGTTGCCAAGTCGAAGGTTCCAGGACGGTATAAGAAGCCAGCGATAGCGGCAACAGCGGCACAGCAGCAGGGTGGTATGGTCCCGGTCACCGAGGCTTGGGATGAGAGGGAGAATCTACTGCTACTGGCGGCTTCGGCACGGGCCTTACCACGGTGCTTTGACCAAAAGAGCTCGTCTACTCATTTTATGGTGGAGCGACGTAGAGAGGTTCTCCGTGGCAGTGCCGCTGCCGATCTTCAGGATGACTCTATGGATTTGGTCACTGGCCTGGTCCATGGTGTTAGCTGGCGGACGGTTGAGATCGGTATGCGATGTACGATGGAGGGCATCGCTGGTCACGATAAGATACGCTCTAACTCCTCCTGTGCTAGACGTGCTAATGAGATGCTCACTGAGCGGCGGCCTATGATCCCACCTACTGGTACGATATGGCGAGACTCTCTAGAAGGCATGGTCAGGGAGAAGCAGAGGCAGGTCGGTTTGCCAGTGGACGTCCATATAGACCAGTCAGCTGATCATAGCGTTGATGAAGCCACTCCTACTGTGGTCGAGCAGACTCTGAGCAAAGTGAACGACGGAGGTTTGGAGAAGCCCTTTGGGAAGCAGGAGGATGCCTTGGCGTTGTTCCACTATCGTAGAGGGCTCACCACTCCTACCTTTGCTGCATTTTGTCCGACTAAGTCGGTGTCATCTGTAATGGTAGTCGGACGACGGAGGGGCCTCGGTGACTCGGCATACAGCCGCATAGGTCAAACACGATGGAGACTCCCAAGGGTGCGGAAGTGCATACAAAAGAGTTCATCTGCGACTAGTGTATCATCACCACTGGTGTATAGAAGACGGCGTGGTGGTCGTGGTGGTCGGCAGTGCAGCAGCATTATGCGGGCATCTATGTCCCGCTTGGCGATACCAGTGAGCTTCTCAGAGCCTCTGAAGGCTTGGGATGAGTACATAGCGACTACAAGCCATCAGAGTTCCTGTCGATGGCTCACTACTGCTGTCACTTTAATGGGAGCTGCTCGGAGGAGACGTGCAAGTGAATGCCGAGAGATGAGGGTCTTGCAATGGGAAGCTCCCCCGATAGGGTCACCGACGTCGCCTCTAGCATTGAGGAACGCTCATGCTAACGCGTTGCTGGCGTTGCAGAAGTATGCTTCAGTTTCGATGGGAGGGGCATCTGTGAAGCAACCGAGCTCTTGCATGGGCTCAGAGGCTATGAGATTATTGACTTTTGCTGCCCATAAGATGAAGGAGCAAAGGACCGATAATGGTAGTGGCATTCAGGTAATACACCATATTATCAAGACTAGGATCTACCCCTATTCAGGTGGCTCCTACGAAGCATCCAATGCCTGAGAATCACAGAAGGATTAAAGTCTCGACGACGTTGCCTGTGGCAGCCGGCGGCTGTGCAGCTGGCGTGCACGTGATGGGGAAGTCATCATCGCATCAGTTTGCGGCAGGACCACGGCAGCAAGAAGCTAGTGGTTTGATGATGGGAAAGGACTCAGCAGGTGGAGCATATCAGGGGACGTCAGCAACGGCCAACCCACAGCAACAGCCTCAACATCTAGCTCAAGTGTTGCCAATAAGGAATGCTACAGTAGCTGCAACGACAGCAGTCAGACAACAAGGCGGCAACGAACAGCAGCAGCAGCAGCAGCCTATGCAACAGTATGTTATGGCTAAGCGGAGTCAGATGCAGTCAGTGGCCGGGGGACTGCAGAATGAGCAGCAGCTGAAGATGGCTCTAGGCTCCGGGACCAAGGCTCCGTCGCCGATTCCACAGCGAGGCGCTAGTCAAGGAATAGGTGCACAGACTACTGGAGCGAAGATGTCGCAGGCCGCAGTACAGAGCTTATTGCAGTCTATGCTGTCCCAACAGCAAGGTCAGCAACGAGCCGGAGCGGCAGTAGCAGCAGCAGCAGCACCGCGTGCCCAGTCAACAATAGCAAGGCAGCAAGGCAGCAATCAAGCGGCCGCTGCTGCTGGTGGTCCAATGGGTAGGGCCAACCTCGGTAATTTAAATCAGTTGTACCAAAGTTTACTCACACAGTTTACGCATGGTACGGCTGGTATACGGCATCAAGGAGGTGTGACACCAGCGGGGCCGGCATCACCTTCTCCATCGGCTTCTGCTGCAGGAGGGGGAGTAGGTTCTGGAACTAGGACGATGCCGGTTCTCCAGAATATGCTACAGAATATATTTGCCAATAATCGCTCGGGATCTGGCTATAGCACAGCAACTACGCCGAAAGGCTCTGGTATACGGGCACAGCAAGGAGCTTCTATTACTGCGACGCCGTCTCTACAGCAACAACAGCAGCAGCGGCCGCCCTATCAGCAGTTCTACTATGGCAATGCCGTTGGCGGGGGTACGTCGATTCCATCCAAGGCAGTATTTCCAGGACCGAAGGCACCATCACCAGCTGCAGCTTACGGGAACTCTGGTGGCCCATCGGGTCCAGGCGTATGAATGGTCCTTTCACTGTTGTTGTCGTTAATGATGACTAGGCTACTGTAGTACTTCCACCATGGTGACTATTGTCTGGAACTCAGTCTGTGATATACTAGCAGTCCGAGCTGCTGCAAGTTCATCTACATTGTGCATTACATTTCTATCATTTTCTGAACGATTGTTTTAGGACCCATCGTACCGGGGTTCTATCGTGATGCTATTCATCATTAGAAACAACCTCGTAGTGCTAGCACCACTACCACCATCGTTATCGTCGCTCCCCCCTTGTGCCTGTGTGTCATCATATGTATAATTAGAGTACTTTATCAACACCCTTTATCATAATAATACCATTACTATTTGAATATGCCATTTTTGAGTTCACACAGCCAATCGTGTCTCGCCACGCCTCGTCTTCGTGTGCATGCGTGCAGGCGGCCAGTTTGCTGCAACCACCTTGACTGTAAGCCGTTCGAGGTTCTGCTTATTCTTGACCAGAAGACGCCTCTTCCCATATTCCTTGCATTGATGCAGTGGGGAGAAGTGTGTATTACTTTGTCACTGATGAATTCCCGCGATGCCCTCATTGCCCTTATTGGTCCACGCTCAGCTGGATATCCTTTTTCATCTAATACTATGGAACACGTTATCGTCGTTGGTGGAGGCCTCGCCGGCCTCTCAGCTGCTCACACTGTCCTAGAGCGTGGTGGACGTGTTATACTCGTTGACAAGATGTCATTTTGTGGTGGTAACTCCACGAAGGCCACTTCCGGTATCAATGGGGCCTTGACCGCCACCCAGAGGAAGCAAGGCATTCCTGACAGCCCGGAACTCTTCGAGAAGGATTCCCTTAGAGGCGGCGCGGAACGGCCTGATCTCATCAAGGTTTTGACCCACGAGAGCGCTGATGGCGTCGACTGGCTCATCGACAGATTTGGCCTTGACTTGTCATTGCTATCAAGACTCGGCGGCCACTCTATGGAGCGTACCCATCGTGGGAAGGCTCGTTTCCCTGGTATGACCATTACTTATGCTCTTATGGAGAAGCTGGAGGAAATCTGCGAGAAAGAACCGAATCGCGCTAAGATGATCCTGAAGGCCAAGGTTGATAAGCTGCTGACTGATACCTCTGGTGAAGTGATTGGTTGTGAGTACGTGAAAGATGGCAAGCCCCAGCAGCTGTTCGGAGCCGTCGTATTGGCTACTGGTGGCTTTGGCGCTGACTTCACTGAGGGTTCTCTCTTGAAGCAACATAGACCAGACCTTGCCCATCTGCCGACTACTAATGGGGAGCATACTACTGGTGATGGTATCAAGATGGCTCAAGCTATTGGAGGTCAAACAGTTGATCTTGAATGGGTTCAGGTGAGATTACTCATTCGCACTGTATGGTCAATCCAGCTGTATTCTGTAGGTGCATCCAACAGGTTTAGTCCATCCTGACGAGCCGGATAATAAGGTGAAGTTCTTGGCAGCAGAGGCACTCCGTGGTGTTGGTGGTCTCCTCGTTGATGCTGATGGTAGACGTTTCTGCAACGAGCTAGGCCGCAGGGACTATGTCACCGGTGAGATGTGGAAGAACAAAGGGCCATTCCGTCTTCTGCTGAACTCCAAAGCTTCGAAGGAGATCGAGTGGCACTGCAAGCATTACAAAGGCAGAGGTCTTATGAAATTCTACAAGTCGGGCCGCGATCTTTGTGCCGACACTGGTATCGATCCCAAGGTGCTGGAGGACAGTTTCAGGGTTAATAACGAATGTGCAGTGAAAATGGCGCAGGATCCTGAGGGTGGCAGCTACCCAGCTTATCCTAGCGGTAAGAGCTACGATAAATGGGGTAAGAAGTTCTATCACAATACCCCTACTGATATCGACGACTCTTTCCACGTCGCCATCGTGACGCCTGTTATCCACTATTGTATGGGCGGCTTGAAGGTCGACACTGATGCCCGCGTCCTCAGACAGGACAAGCCTATCGAGGGCCTCTTCGGAGCTGGTGAGGTCAATGGTGGCATCCACGGCAAGAACCGTCTTGGTGGCAGTTCCCTGCTGGACTGTGTAGTCTTCGGTCGCGTGGCAGGTAGATCGGCTAGTCGCCACATGCAAGCGTTGAATGTTAGAGTGATCGCTGATAAGGGCCTAGCTAGATCCAAGTTGTAAAGACGGCCGTGACCTGTTTTCGATTTGTTTGTTCGTATTTATGATCATTATCATATGCAAGGTTGGTATCACCAGTAATCATAGTTTTATGAAGAGGTAGTCGGGCGAATGTAATTATTAGTCTCATCTCAGTCGCCTTGAGGAAGCCCGTGAGTTTTTAAACGTAGTGACGATGGTGGTGTACACCAACCAGAGTGTTTTTGTTGCGTTATTAGTCGGCACAGTGGCTCAATGGGTCAGCTTCATCGATGCCGTTGACGTTACCCGTTGCCAGACGGTTGGCGGTGGTTGGCGGGAGAGGTAACATCATGTATGTTGGGATAAGCAATTAGTGACTTGCTCAGTTTTTTCACCGCAGCAGTTTTTGTGGTCAAAGTTGAGGTACATGTCAACGACCGGAGGTCCCTCTACGATATTTGACAAAATACTGAGGTATGAAAGGTTCTCGAGATGAGTAGCATCAGTCACGTTGCTGTAGTGGGGAGGTGCCGTCGAAGAAGGTCTATGAGGACGACCTTGTTTACGCCTTTCGAGATATCAGCCCTGTCGCCCCGGTTCATGTAGGAATATCTGATTGCTTAGAAATGACAACAGTGGCAGGTGTTGTTGATCCCAAAACACAAGGGTAATCTCACTAGGCTATCCAAAGCTACTGAGATGGACAAGGACTTGCTTGGACATATGATGGTAATATCTGTTCGAATTGTCACCGCGAGAGATTGTAGTATTGACACCTCCGATTTCCTCTATTCTGTATAGGTAACTGTTCCTAAGGTTGCCTCTGCTGCTGGGTTAGATGAGTATCGTCTCGTTATTAACGATGGAGCTAGTGCTTGTCAGAGTGTGTGGCATTTACATATGCATATCATCGGTGGACGCCCTATGAAGTGGCCCCCGGGATGACTGCTATCCTTTCGACTAAACAGTGTTTTATTATTTCTCGTGTGCTTGTGTTGCTGGGTGGGGGGAGGCGGATAATCTCCTCTCAAACCTTCATCTTAACATAGACAAATCTGTCACATTTCTACCTGTATCTCACACAATTTACCCTACAAGCTTAAAAACACTTTCCTGCGGGGACACATATTGTACTCGAGCTATACATCATTAACTGATGATCAACATTCACTACCAACTGAGAAAGTGGTCCTCCACTAAGGGTAACATAAGATACCTGATCCTTCTTGAATTCGAGTGTACCTCTTATCGACAGAGATGATGTCACAAGCAATTACATGGCTCCCCAATTAGTGAAAGTGTTGAATTCCTTCTGCGCAGATGTGTATGCGGTATACTCTTTACGAGGATATGGCGCATATCAAAACACAAAACATGAATCCGAACTCGGAAAATGCAGTGATAATTAAATGAATGTGCAAGTATTAGACATCTTGATCATTCTGTCAACCTCCAGCAACATCCACATCCATCGCGACAGCATCGGATGAGCCACCGACTATTTTGGATAGCTCATCTGGCCCGGCCTACGACCCGTATATCAAGCCACTCAATGACCAAGTCGAGGCTTCTTCGCAACTACTTCTATATGATCCTGTGCTTCGCCTCCCTGTGATGCCACCGTGTGGTCAAGGTTCTCCACGGGGGCATCATCAGGCTCACTGCATTCCACATCGCCGTTGTCCGGCTCTACCAAGGATGGGCAATGATGATTCTCAAATGCGTCTTTACAAGTCTGACCTTCTTCATCGTCAGTAACTTCAACTTCAGCATCCTTATCGAGAGGCACCGCAGTGTCGAAGGCTATTCCCTCATCAACAACCTCGCCATCATCCCCCTGTAAAGGAGAAACGACTAATGAATCGAGACCATATCAGCGAGAGTACCGTCTCTGCTGAGGCATCCGGCAGGTAGGGCTGCTGCAACTCCTCGTTCTCCTCATCCCAGTTGATAACATACTTGGTAATTCTTGGATTCTCCACATCCATCTTGCGCAGAAGCCGAGCAAAGTCTATCTCCTCTGGAGGCTCGTCATTCATTTCTTCATTATCGTACTAACACCGGAGATAGCTGAAGGGCAGGGGGAGCTGCTCACCTCATGCTTTAAGTAGAAGCCAATTCTGCAGAACTCGCGGGACTGATATGATGCAGAAATGAAGAGGCCAGTAACGTCCAGCACATCCTCCTTCGAAACCTTCGTCAGGTCGGGTGCAGGAGCCTAAGTACACATGACCATGAGAGGACTACCTTGACAACCCATCTTACTTCAAACGTGAACTTCATGGTGGCGACCTCGACAGGACCAAGCTCGACGGTGTCAAGCTCCTGATCTTTGCTGGAGACAAGCGAGAGTTATCAAGAATAACCCGATGCCGAACTGCCTCACCTCGAATCATTGGCGTCGGCCACATACACCATGGCCCATTCGAGATCGTCTTTGAGCTCCTAAGAGGCATATCGATGAGCAACGATAAGTAGTAACCCATAGCTCGCCTTCAAGGCTTCGAATTGAATCTCGAAAGAAAGCTTCTCGGAAGCTTTACAAGGATTCTCTCCCAGCAACGAAACGTCAGTCACCGACACCACAGACATGTGAGCAGGAGGCCGCAATGCTACTAGAGGGGGTAGGATTGAGGGACTAACACGGCACTATAACGGGAGTAGAAGAATAAGCAGCTCAATGAGAGCGCATTCAAAGCAAACGTGTACAACTGCTAATAAGAAAATAACAGAAACCTACTTGGAGTAGAGGAGTCCCTCAAATGGCATCTTTCGTCTCTGCTAATTCAACGACTCCACTGTCGGGAGCATCATGGGATTCTGTCCTCTGTCTCGACCGAGAAGACCAGTATGCAGCCTCAGTTGCTTCGAACTCCCCCACAGTTTCACAAATGGGATGCCCTAGTGTTTCTCGGATACCCCACAGACAAGCAATACCACCTAAGAGAGCCACACTACCGAATATCAGTAGGGGCAGGGCCGGCGATATGGGGGTGAACATCTCCACTGTACCGGGGGCCACAGCGGCAGCCAACCGAGCACCTAGGGATGATATACCCGTTCCACTGTTTCGCATACTTGTGGGGAAAAGCTCGGCTGAGAGGAGATAGACAGAAGCAAAGCAACCACAGGAAGCAACCTTACCAACCATCACGACAACGACCTGAAGGACAGAGTCGGGGGGCGTAAGAATGCACAGATAGCCAGCTGTGGCTAACATGAAGAAGAAGAATGCCGAGCCACTAACCCGTGCCAGACCAAGCACATACATCGATAATACGAAACCAGGAACCTCAGCAACGGCAGAAATGGTAGCCGTGATATACACCGAGCTACCAATGTGCTCTGCAGTCATATTGATACCATAATAAGCATACCCAGTAGCGTACCACATGAACATGAGCAAAATGGTAGTACGGCGGAGATGACGGTACGAGCATAGGGATCTCAGATGCGCCAAACAGCCCCTCATAGGCAACGCTGTTGCAGTATCCGCAGGTCGCAATCTGAATATCTTCACATTCAACGTTGGGGACGCGTTGAACCGAGCAATGTAGTTCATGACATGCTCGGCCTCGGTCTTCCTACCATTAGCAAGCAGCCATCTGAGAGCAAACAGACTTGGAGGCGGACATAAGGTACCTCCGGAACACACCTTGGTGACTCCCGGCACGTAAATAGGACGGCAATACATGTAGGTAGTGACAGTAGAGATATAGCTATGCATACCAATCGCCAGGATAATAACGTGTACGCAGATGCTATACAGAATAGCATTCCTACGGTAAAGCACCTGAACAGGAAGCGTAGACATTCAAGTGATAGGAACGTTTTACATGTGGAAAGCATTCCCAGTGGTAGTTCTAGCTCGTTGACCCCAAACCTCACTAGCTAGGGTGAAGGATACCAATCCTAGGCCACTTGAGAACAGACCGGATAAAAAAGTAAACACCCAGAAGCTGATGGTCCCGAAGCTGATTGCAGCACCTGTAGATTGGAAAGCGAGAGCTGAAGAAAACTACACCCAAAGCACTCACCAGCCATGAACACGCCACATAGTGCTGATGCCGACACTACTGCGGGTTTACGACCCAATCGATCGGCCACTACACCCCATAGAGGGGTTCCGACCATCGACCCGACGAAGGGTGCTGACCGTAGAATACTGTGCCACTCGGTGGGGAACTACGGTGATGTTCATGGACATAAAAGAGGTCTATATGAGCTCACTTCATCAAGAATCGACGTGAAATTGTCGTCTGTTCCAGGGCTCATAGTAGTGAAGACCGTGCTTAGCATGACGGCACCGTAACCGACCCACGCTAGGCCCATCGCCGCTGTTATGCGCTTCTGGTATCTGAGGATGAAACCCATGAGAGCCTACGTGAGGACGAGGTAGAAGGCATCGCATACACCGAGGAGTGGAGAGCAGTAGAGAGCGAATTACCTCCCGAAGCCGTCAGCAGCCTCTATAGCCTCATCAATCGTTATTGAGTCGGCCACGTTACTATCCAACTTCTCATCGTCACTGTCCGAGTGGCTAGGCACGGCTCCGAAAGGAACCTGTACCACCATGTTCAACGGAAATTGCTATTCCAAGTTAGAAACCGTGCGCTTGGCAAGCGCGTGCGCCCATGTCCCGCGCGAAATCGAAGTAGTAGCATCATCAACCTTGTGATACCTCAACCACACGTCAATGGGGTAACCCAATCACTATGATGCCGCCCTTCAATGAGGTCATCGCCCGGGCTTGGATATGCTGCAGTCTAGGTTGGTTACTACTGCTAGCACAGTTAGTCGGGGGTAGTGGGGCCGAAGACCGCCTTGACCAGAGACTTCTATTGACCACCGTATCCGAGGATGAAATCGAGGAGTCGCTGGCCTTGAACATGTGGAAGGCCGTCGGCTGGGCTGCTCTATCTGCTATATCCCTACCTATAGGATCCACTATTGCTATACTGTGGCCCCCGGGTCAACGCGTATGTAGTGTTCTACTAGCATTTGGGTCGGGATCTTTGCTTGAGGCACTGAGTATAGAGCTATTCGGGCATGTACTGCATGCCACTGACGATAAGAGGGTCATTTACTCGTTGATTGCTGGAGCTCTCGTTGGGTGCCTTATATTTGTACTACTCAACAAGGTGATAGTGGACGAACCCAGCTGCTACTCTATGATGGTGATCTCCCTCAGATGCTGAATGACCGTGGTGGCTTCTATCGTCACGAGAATATGATAGGTCAGTACGTGATGCGTGTTAAGGTGAAGATGATGAGGAGCTTGTTGCGGAGGTTGAAGCAAGTGCCAATGCTCAGCGGACTAGAGGATATCGAGCTTTACGAGCTTGCTAAAGTAGTAGTTGTCATGGACATCCCCTGTCCATTTCAGTGTGTCCTCGTCAGTCCTTCGAAAGCTCTCGTTACCGTGCCGGGCATGTGGTGGTGTGCGATGCAACCACGAGCACTACTGCATACTCCGCCCTTTTCTTCGTTGTAAGTGGCGAAGTGCAGGTGACAACAAGCTTCAACGATGGAATTGAAAGTGAGCATTCAGGTCATTGGTAACCTCAGACAAGTTGGGGCTTATTAGGTACCACTGTAGCTGGCCCGAACTCGATATTCGGCCAGATGACTTTATGTACCGGCGTGCCCGTGGCGACTACGGCAGTGACCCAAACTCGGGTCAAGCTGCTTCGACTACCACCTGTTGACGTAAGGAAATGAGTAAAACTGTAAGGCACTTCAGCGGACAGGTCCAAAGGCTACTGATCGAGAAGGACTGTGTGAGAGAATTCGTATCAAACTGCGCTGTGTCAAGATTGAGCCAGCCAGGAACGGTGTTTGCTGAGTGCTCCGAGGAGACACTGGTGAGCTGGCTCTACAGACTCTTCGGTGTTACGATTCAATCAGGCCAGGCTAGTCTCAGCCATGACTCAGTGTGAGCTGCATATAGGTGACGTATTATTTTTCGAAGTGGATCGGACCTGTCCAATCTATCTCGTCATTCTAGGCCTGGTAGTAACCGTAGTATATGCACATGTTTCTATCATCGTCAATCTCAGGTCGAGGTTTGGTACGAGCAGGCGCCTACTGCGCCATTCTCGGGTCAAGATGGAGTCGAGAGTGTATTAGGTAGTGATAGTGTTTCCACTCATTTATGTGGAGAGCAGAGATTGTTTGCTGTGAGCGACCTCATTGGCACCGAGCATATGGTATACGGTCATTCGGTTGCGGCAATCGCCACGGCAATGAAGCCTACAGTGGTATTCAAGGTAGTAGGGATCTCTCTACTGCGGTCTTAATGCCTCGTATGTCTCAGCTGGAGCGGGAGGATCTGGAGCGGATGATGGACTATGATGAGGGGCTGAAAAACGCAATGAAGAAATATGCTATCAGCCGATTGTCTACTCGTCCAGGGGATAGTAAAAATGCCTCTACTCTAACGACGATTCGTATTGTGTTCTTAGGTCCTGTTTCTACTCTTCGACCAGCTGTACGCGCATCTCCATCTCTGACTCGTTCCGGTTCGGTCGGTCCACCCTCAGGAGTACCGGTACTTCGACCGTCGATGTCTGTGGCATTCGACAAAACAGTACCTCGCGACTCTCTCAGACTTCGTTCATATACTCAAACGTTTGTCGGGGATGAAATTCCATCACTCTCTGGAGACCTCTCAATACCGTCAGACGATAAAAGGCGCAAGTCTGTTGGGGGAGGCGAGGGCTACACTATATCGAAGATTGTACGGAGGATGAGCCCTGTAGCAGCTGTAGCGCATCTGGATGTACATGACTTGGTCTCTGCCTGCGACGGCAGTTCCGATGCCCTTTTGAAGCGTTCTGACACACTCAGCCATCATGGTAGAGGCACTGAGGATGAAGTCACTAGTGTTTGCTCGGATGGTAGATCAAGACGCCATGCTGCTACTGTGGTCTGGTTGGGGATACTCATTGATGGTATACCGGAGTCGTTGGTTATTGGTATACTAGTGTCGACGAGTCCACTGAGTAGTGTCATAACTTTTGTCTTTGGTGTGTTTATGGCCAACCTACCCGAGGCCATGAGTTCCTCAGCGACCATGCTTGAGCACGGTGTGTCACGTATTAGAGTGTTCTTAATGTGGTCCTCTATTGTCATTATAACAGCTTTGGGTGCGGCTCTTGGGAGTCTTATATTCCCACCCATTTCTGCAGATGAGACTACTCTAGCTCGGGAGGTTATGATTGCCATGATTGAAGGATGTGGTGGAGGTGCTATGCTTGCTATGATTGCCGAGACAGCTCTACCCGAAGCTAGTCATGCAAGCAGTGTTACGGGTTTAGTGGGGACGAGTGCGGTAGCTGGTTTTCTCAGCACGCTCTTCGTTAAGTCCCTCGCGTGATACCAATGTTGGACTTTCCATCTCCATGATCATCCCTACTGTTCGTCGCTGTGAGCGTGGCAAGGTGTCGCGTTGATGAGTTCAGCTACGCGAGCTGCGATCATTTGCCTGTCAGTGCCCACTCTCCACAGGCAGGTTTTTTTTCTGGGAGTCTGCCGGTTTTCTTAACATTCTTCCTGCAGTGTAGGACCCAACCTATACTAGGGACGGCTATGTGTCGACTCCCCACTCCAAGTGCTTCCCTGAGGGTCTTGTGTTCTTCACGCGCGCAATATCGTGACAACGTGCACGATCAGCCCCGTTCATTGCACCCTTTCCCATGTGGCATTAATTGCTAAGTCCTTTCGGCGATTACGCCTACATTTTTCTGTGTAGCCTCTCAATTCCCATCCTCTGGTGCCCAACTCACACAACCTATTTGAGATCTCATCATCAGAGGGCGGAGGGGTTGAGTTGCCACCAGTTATTCCGGGGTTTGGGTCAGCCGACGCTACATTCCCATTTTCTCCGAGTAGGGAAGTAAATTAATGATGATCGGGGCTCTGGAGGTACGGAGGTAAACATTGGTTGTCAAACTGGTTTGATCACTCTGGTCTCTCTAAACGCTTGATGGATGAGTCAGAATAATTTAGCACGCACACACATGTGAATGCCAGTCTACTGAACTGTTCCCCGTGACACTACTACGACGGCGTGCGCGAGTAATGATCGCGCTATTCATGCAAGATGCACGATAGTGACATATCTCAATAATAAGGCGATGCTACCGCTGATGTAGCATCGCTGCTGATACTGGATCATTGTTTCACTTCTATCTCTCAACCCATCTATTTGGAGAGGGTCAGAGAAGAGGGTTGGTCAGTGAAGATGCGGTGAACTCTTTGCAACATCCCCTGAGGTCCATACAATGTTGTGTCATCGGGATAGGTTTTCTCCCAGGGTTAACAGCACGAGACCATTCTGCGTCGGAGATTAAAATGCAGTACCCAACAGCAGGCTTGGAGAGTAGTTGATGGATAATCCTTTGGCAGGAACTTCTCAGGACTACTGCGGCATAATCCTCATAGCAGTGATCGCCTGGTATCACAATAGGTGGCGTTCACATATCGCGGATGAGACGGCTCTCCAGCGGGATGCCTTGAGACAGTCCGTATCGCTTCGGCGATCCTATTCATCGTCGAGTCAGGGAGAGGATCACTACACTGAATAGAGTTTCTAACGGAGTAGTACCCGGTTGGGAAGAGGTGACATAGTGCCTAATACATCACGCTAGCGGTGGCCACTCTGGACGGATGATTGTTGGTAGTACGAGTCCATGGTATGATTGAGCTTGTGAGCTACCAAATAATCACTGTTGTACTCGCCACGGGCGTTCTGTTGTTGTGTTGATCAACCGTATGGTACTCGCTTTGTGGGGCTTCATCACACTAAATTTTGGGGAGTGTTCCACTCTTGTCTTTTTGTTCATTCTTGGTAACTGCTAACCGTCACATTGTCCTTCCCAGTGTTTAGTACATGACGTACAGTACCTCTCCGGGGGCTAGCGGCCTACCACAACAACAGCAGGATGACCAGCGGCGCCATCAGAAGGTCTGTAGCAAGAATTGTGGTACTTATGCTCCCAGCAACACGACGTCGCCACCCGCAACAGATGGTTGCTGTATACCTCAATGGCTTGGGCATCCTCGAAGGTTGAAGTCTTACGCAGTCTTCGAGCCCTTCCCTGAGATGGAATACCGGAAAGTACAGAAGTTGGCTTCGGCTATTCATGGCAAAGTGTATTTGTATGAGCACATCCCCACAGGCAAGGCAGTAGTGGTTAAAAAGATGCCCAATGTGAACGTGATACAGTTCGACCCGAGGATGCTCGAAGATGCTATGACTGAGATAGGCGTGTCGAGGTATTTAGCTACTAGCACGTCGGGCGAATTCATTGCAAGGGCGTTTGGTATATATCAGGATGAAGAGTTCACTTATTTCATGTCGGAGTACTCATCCGGAGGGGAGTTATTCGATCATGTGGTTAACGCTAAGCAGTTCTCGGAGCCTGTCGCCAAGAAGTATACTTGGCAGGTATTACGGGCGGTTAAGTCACTGCATTGTAATGGTATCGTTCATAGAGATATATCCCTTGAGAATACATTGTTGCATGATGATGGCTCGGTGAGGGTGATAGATTTCGGTCAAGCAGTGTTGTTGAACAATCCTGAAGGTCCTACACCGAACACTCCTCTGTTGCATTCGGGTAGGGCCGGTAAGGCATATTATCGGGCACCCGAGATGTATCATGGTCATTACTTGGGAGCACCAGCTGATCTCTTTGCTGCGGGAGTCATGCTCTTCATTATGACAGTCGGTACGCCTCCGTGGAATCAGGCCAGTGTTGCTGATGCTCGCTTTCGCTACGTGGCTAAATTTGGTGTGGTGAAGTTACTCACGAGTTGGCAGAAGGCGCAGCTCATGTCTCCAGAGCTACTAGATCTACTGGGAGGGCTTATGTGTGTAGATCCTGAGAAAAGGATGACGGTCGACGAGGCTCTCGATCATCCATGGTTCGACGATTGCGATTGTGAGGAGCAGCCTCTGATTGTACACAGTCCTCGAAGTTTAACCCCGCCATAATAGTAATGATAATGCTCTTGGTAATCATTTATGATAAGTACTACTACTATCGCTAAGTTGTCATCAGTACTGTTGCTGGTAGACAACATGTATTAAAAGTTCCTGCTTCGCTCCATTCGTGAGTTTACAGCTCGACTGCAGCTGCAGTTGATACAACAGCTAATCAGATTGCTTCCCTATAAGGCCTATAATCATTGCTTTGTTAATATTTCTATCGATCAGAGTTCGAGTTGGCTAGTGAGTACTGAGGAGTGTCTGTGACCAATACCACTTCAGTTTATATAGTGGGCACTGATTATGGGACGAGGAAAGTCTGACAGTGAGAGTATCATCCCTCGATTTAGGGAAAGGGTCTCACAATGAGGTGAACGCGAGGATGAAACCTGTGTACAAGTTGAACAAACCACTTGGGTCATGGTGCTACAAGTGGTACTCCACGGTACTTATAGACATCCAGACTTTCACATCGATTCTCACATCTCGCCCGATATTGTGAAGTTAATCGATATCGAAAGGTCCCGGGATCCACACCGACTCTTTCGAATGTGTCGTTCGTTGTACATCCCTCCCGATCTATTCCAAAGGTGGCCACTTCAAGTTTATATATTGCCGTACTTCAGATGATTTTCCGATATTTTTCTATACCCGTTCCGCATTTTTCCATTTTAATTTCATCCTTTTCCGAATCGATTTCGGAGACGGATGAATCAACATACTTGGTATAAACGAAACGACTGGTGATGCTCCCATTGAATACGAGGCCAGTTGTGCCACATGTGACAGTAATGAGTAACATTGTGAACAGTAATCACTCGACTACGCACCTAGTTGAATATCCTCCATTCGCGAGACTCGGCCGCAGAACCTCCGCGAGTGAGCTGTAGCTCGGACGACATCCTGCTGTGTGGCCAAGGTGAAGGACTCTTGGGCCCAATGCTCCAATGAAATTTCGACTATGTCGAATCTGAGTCACATTCACGACAACCTCCTTCATAGATAAACTCCTCGCCGCATCCACCTAGTGACTTCGCCAACTGGTGAGTGTCACACACACCTTCTAACACTCGTAAGCTATGATGCAGTGGAATGGTGGTCGAGGTGTGGTTGCATTCAGTGACCGTTTCGGGCGAGCTCAGGCTAGGATGCGCTGGGCGAACGAATTTGTTAGTCTTGGATATCATCTACATCACTCCAACATCCATGGCTCGAATCGTGGTGTCTAACATTCCCTCCAATCTCCGAGAAAGAGAGCTCGATGACATATGTAGGATGTCCTCTCAGCTGTATCCAGACACAGGGTGGTTCTGCTCAGTTTACAAGTTCGGTAGAATAGAGTCTATTGAGATCCGCGGTGCCAGGATAAACGAGAGTTCTCGGAGGCGCACAGCGTAGGTTTGCCTCACCACACTGCACTCAGTATCACTTTCAGATACGCCTACGTCCAATTCCGGGACTGGCAGGATGCTGCCGATGCTGCCAAGGTAGATTAGGCTCTTGAGGGAGTGTATGTTGCCTCTCCTGTTATCTACAGTCGCGTAACGGTTATGAGATCGATGGCCAACCCATCACCGTCGAAGTAGACTCCGACTCTCGTGACGACTCCCGGGGGCCTTATGCAAAAGGAAAGGGGAAGGGAGGCAGGTCGGACGGCTCCTCCTGATCGTCGATATGTCGAGACATGGTACTCTTGCAGGTACGACGACTACGGTGGTGGATATGGCAAGGGCGGCAGTGGATCTCCATTGGGGTAGGTGGTACAACCCGCCGCTGCAGTTGCATTGATCAAACCATTGTAGGTTCTATGACTCGATGGGTATGTCTGAGAATTACTACCGTGTGGTCGTAACAAACCTCCCTCGAGGGGCATCTTGGCAAGATCTTAAGGATAGAATGCGTGATGCTGGTGAATGCCGGTATGATGAGCAGTTGTCATTACCTCGACCATCTACTGGTTGCTGTTGACTTCAGATTCACTGAAGTCACTCGTGATGGAGTCGGTGTAGCTGGCTTCGCTGGCCAATCTGATGTCGAGCGCGCTGTCCGCACCCTCGATGATACCGAGATGAAGAGTCATTTTGTAAGGCTTACGTATAGGGCTTATTGGAGAGGATAATGTGATAAAGTCGTCGCCAACTCCTGTGTTGTGATGATGCTGATGGCTGGGATGATTGAATAAGGGATAACCATCGGAATAGCAATGATGGAAGAGCATGTTACTGAGGATGCTGATGTTAATCATTAGTTCGGATAAGGATCGTATAAGGACTTCATCCGGATGGTACTACCAAACGGATGCGTCTTAGATCATATCAATCGTTCTAATATCTTCGTGCAGGGATAGTATTGAGCTCAGTGCTGACTGAAAGTGCATGAGACTCCCATACATTCTCTCGTGCTCAGGGTGACACGTCTATTATTCGAGTAGAAGAGTTCAATGAAGAGAAACACGGAGAGACGCTTGGTCATATTGGAAAGGGTAAAGGCAAGGGCAAGGGAAAGGGGTGAGTAGTGTCACTTTGTGGCATACATGGTGGAGTGATCTCTATGTGTAGGTATGGTTGGGGTGGTGGTAAAGGAGGAGGTTGGGGCGGTAAGGGTGCTGGATACTCTAGTTGGGGTAGTGGCAAGGGAGGCTATGGCGACTGGGGTGCCAGCTCGCCACCATCTAGAGGCTCCTACGATGATCCCTACAGTGGCGGCCGCTCACCACGTGGACGTGATTCGAGGCGTAGATCTCCCAGCTATGGCGAGTACCATACTAAGGAAAGCCGCAGTCGCTCTCGTGGTCGGGGCGGCGAGAGAGGCAGTCCACGGTGAGCTATCCTACAGCCCTGCAGGTGTTGGTGCTACTACTTGCCGCTCAGTTACGATTAATAAGTTCTTGTTGAAGCTGTGAGATCATTGGGTGGAGTGACACAAATCGCAGTTGACTTAGACAGGAGTTCATCTGTTGGGTTTAGTGGTTAATCAATCACACCGTAGGCGTCTACCACTCCAACCATGGTGGGATTGAGGACTGCAGAGGAATCGCCGGGAGTGGCCGATGATCCCCATATGCTCCGTATAGCTGTGATCGATCTTGAGAACGAGGTGCTCCAGGCATCGTCGACGTCAGCATCTGTTGCTGTGGATCGGCAAGACATAGATAGATGGGTATATGAGATAGGTCTTCATCAGTGTAGAACACTTTGTTAGGGATCATTGCTTAGTCAGTACTCTGAGTCTTTGACAACTGCACTGACCGAGGGCTCAATGCCTTCGTATGATGTCAAGATTACTAAGCAGAGGTGAGGAGCAGGTGAGATCGATGGGTGCTGGTACTACCCACAGGTTGAACACTATCACTACTCTCCTCGAGGCATTACAGTTAGCCAATCGACGGCGGCGGCATGGGAAGAAGTTTAGCTTTCGTCAAAAGCCAATACCGGACGATCAATGGGATGCCTGTCATAGTGTCGAGTCGGCGGCCATAAATCGGCCCAACACAGGGCCTGTATCTCTGCACTCGTCTGCTAATGTGAGTTCTCAATCCAGTGAGGAACCCTTACCTACTTTTGAATCAGATTATCGCCTCTCGTGAGGGTGATAGCTTTGATATTGAGGTCAGCAGTAGTTCTGAGGTCTACACCTTGGAAGAACTCACCAACTGTACAGTGCGCTTCAGCGGCCAGTCGTCTGGGAATCTACCGGCAGCTATATACATCCATGGAGTGCGCAAGAGTTTGGTATCGGTGACTTCTGGTGAGTTTACATCCTCCTTGTCCCCGGTAGTGCTGTTCTGCTGTCAGAGGGCATCTCTCCCGATACCCCTGTCGGTCCAGTACTCCTCTGCTACGACTGTCGTGATTCCATCATACAGCTATCAGGGTGTGTAGCTCGGCAACTTAGGATCCATACTAGCCATGGGATGCTCATCTACGCCAACGCTACTGCCACACCCATCATTGAGGACTGTAGTACTCTTATGTTTTGGTTACTCCCTTTATTTTCGCTATTGTCCAGGTACCAGGATAGCGATTGGGCGAAGCTTCGATGTCCCTCAGTCTCCTGTCACCGTAGCCGACTTCTCTTATCTCCAAGCAGATGGGGTGTCCCCTAACTGGAGGCCAATACCAGATCAGAGCTATACCCGTCGGGGCGAATGGGATGGTCACACTCCTCCACCCGAGCTGATTGGCCTCTTTGTATGACATGTTTCCTGCGCTAGGAGATTTGCGACTATCAATTCGATCCATCTACTGTAGTAGACTCATCACTATGGACAAACTGCTCTTCACCGCTGCGGCCCTGGCCACTGCTGATGCCAGTATGATCACACTGAAGTCGCCTTACGAGAGTGTGGCAGCTCGCCATAAGTATAGTTGCCTTTTCCTTTCACGTATCCATCTTTACTGGCAGAGCTCGAATTGAGTACAAGCAGTCGGCTGTCGTAGCCAATCAGACTTCTGGGATAAGACTGGCGGTTACCAGCGGAAGGTATATCTGGATGATCGGCTGTTGTACTGTGTTATGCTACTTCAGCTACTACGGCCCAATACTTATTGGTAAGGAGGGAGAAGAACAGGTCTTCGACGTTGTATTCGATACTGGATCGACTAACCTATGGGTGCCCGATGCTACATGTGATACTACAGCTTGTACAAAACATGCGGTAGTGGCAAGCTGCTTGGATCTGGCATTCGGGAATACTCAGTTTTAGGCATATAAGGGAGGTGGCGACTCGGACGGTGAACTTGAGGTAGTATCATCTGTACGTGCTATGTGGACCGTATGGTTGTACAGTTCAGGATCAAGTACAGTACAGGGAGTGTCCAGATAAAACCACAGCGAAACAGAGTGAAGGTAGGTGAAGTGAGTCGCGGTTTGACAGCTTGACATACCTCTTCTCTCAGATAGGAAACTTCTCGACTCCAGTAAGCAGATGTTCGTATCCTTCCCATCTAGGAGTAATTCACTTCTGTTTCAGCATCAATCATTTGGTACGGCTGTGTACGAGTCGGCATTCCCTTTCGAGGCCTATCCTTTCGATGGTGTATGCGGGTAGTGGAGAAAATGAGAAACCACAATGACCATCATCTTCCAACAGGCTTTCCTGGACCCGTCCAGATGGGCTACTCAACCTCGACGGCCCGACACTTATGGAGAACATCCCTCAACTCGGGCTCTTCACATTCTATCACAGCAAGGATCCTGCATTGCCAGGCGCTCTCTACTTGGGAGGTACCTCCCACTGTCACAGCCTGTCTCTGACTCTAAGATTGCAGGTACCGGTCCCCCAGCAGACAGGATAGCCCCCGGTGCCCGTATTAGCTGGTTCCCTCTGGTATCGGCCAGTCATTGGGACTTGGGTGGTATTGACGTCGCCGTTAACGGTACAAGACTGGGGTTGTGTAGCAGAGATGACGGCCAACCCTGCCATGTACTGGTTGATACAGGTAGCCTCGTACCGTCCGGTGAGCGGGCGTGTATGGATCAACGTACGGTAGGCACGTCCGACGTCAGCTTCCCGAGGGATGTATTCGACGTCATTGTTAAAGCGCTGAACGTGAAGAGTGATTGCTCCAACTATGACGACTTGCCTGTTATGACATACATTCTTAAAGGGGAGGACGAGGACGGCAACGCCACTGAGGTGCTGGCTTATTGGATGGCTACTCGATGATCACGATGATTCATAGCAGGTTGAGGTGGACCTCAGCCCAGCTGAGTATGCTTTAAGATTCGATGGTTACTGTGATTTCGACATATCTGCGAGGGATGTCCATTCCAGTAGAGGTGATTGTCTCTTCATTTGAGACGTTGCTCTTGATTGATGTGCCAGGTCTCTTATGGATTTTGGGTTCCCCTTTCCTCCGCGCATACATCACTACATTCGACAGGGGTAAGGAGGACGTATCATACCTACCTACGGGTGCATGTTGTTAGATAACCATCGCATCGGCATCCTCAGAAGCCAGCATGATCATTCGGAATCAGTGGTATCCGGTACCAGCTACTAACGTCGCTCTCCTCGAGCCAAGTTACTTCTTCATCATCATGCATGCAGGAGTGTTGTTACTAGGGATCGCAATAGCGGTCTAGAGAGACCTTTATTCATCCCATGACCTCGTTACTTCCACGTGTGGCTTCATCATCTCCTTTTAGTGTGGTGTTGTAACTTGCTGTTGATACATCTTGGCATGGAAAGGCGACCAGAGTAGCAGTCGTACGCTCATACCGCAACATGGCTGTCAAGTGATCCCAGCCAACCCCAAGCTCCTCGATCACGTAGAGTTGCTCACAAATTAACCTGTGAGCTCCTGTCAATACGCAGACTTTGTAGGCAAGTCATCATCTGGTCGCAGTGAAGTCCCATCTCGCCTTTGAGTCTATCAGACATTATCGGTCACTCGTGTCTCAGGGAGGCTAGTTATTCCCCCTTTCACAAACCGCACAGTTCTTACGAATCGACAGACACGTGATCGTTGTCGAGAAGGACACCATACTCCAAATAGCTCTCCTCGGCACGCGTTTAGAATGATCTCCACCATATCTCTGAGGATTCCTAGTCAAGACGAGCGTCAGGTGGCCTCAGCAATCCCCGCGGTATTCACATATGTCTAGCTTGCAAGCGAGGTGTCTCTGGGTTGAGAATGCCTATGCTGTCAACGACTGGATTTCTTGTCTGATGTTAATCTCATTTCCAGAAACCTCGTTAATCCTCTCGAATCGTCCTGACTAAATGGAAAGCCCATTAGCGTTTTCCTGATGTAGGCACGGTCGTGGTGTTCGAGTTGGGAAGACTACGGGAATAAATTACTCCCAGCCCACTCAATAGAACGGCTCCCCACATAACATACACGGTAGTTCGCTCTAACAGTGGAGGCGACCATACGCACTATGCAACAATATTGAACAATTGGGTGCTCCCATGGTTATAGTTGCAATAGGCTTAAGTTATTCATGCCAAACGACTTGAACTCAAAAGGCATTGCATTAGAGACTCACACTATCACACTAAGACTGATACAAAGCATAAAGATTATTGTTACAGGGCAGATACACCCAAATAATAGCCCAACGCACATGCGGGAAGTGTGCTGCCAAAAGCGAAATAGTTTAAAAATGGACGTCATCTCAGGCATAGGCCGAACGATGCATTCCAATATCGACGGAAAGGCATGGATATTGATCATCATTGTCTTCACGTCGTTAAAGTTACAAGTATCATAAGGGAACCGCATAGTGCAGGTAGCCAATATTTAACGCACTCTCGGGGGTGGGACCCAACCAAGGCCGAGCTGAGGATGGGCTCCCAGCATCGTTAGCTCTGGCTCTATATTGAAACCCATCACCCACACATTTTCATCACCAATACTCTGATATGCAGGGGAGGTGGTGTTCTTACTGCCTGTCGGGTCTACATTACGTATAGTCTCTTCTCTGCCCTGAATGTGGGCGAAATAGATCTCAGCGCATCGTTTAGAACCAGGAGAGAACCTCTGCCACGGACGATTGCGCATCGATGCAACAAATGCGCAAAGGCATTCATGTGATGTAAAGTTTACAAATGCGTAGCCACGGTTGCTAATCTGAATAGTCTAGTAATTCAACAAAACTGAACACACCGAGCATCTAATCTCACTTTGGCCGTGTCAACGGGGAGATAGAGGAGATCATATCCACCGTCCTTCATCATAGGACACGCTGCCTCAAGCTCGTCACGTAGCATAGCGACAGTATAACTACAAGAAGCACCTCATGAACACCGATGAGGCTGACAGCCTACGTCCGTGGAATTCGCTTGATCATGACAGTCGTTTTCCCCTCGCCTGAGTTGGACACGTCCTTACCCCGGTTCAAAGGTCGATTGAGAGGGCCTTCATCCAGCTGGAGTCGACCCACATGGGCAGTCAAGGGCATGACCAGTTCAGGATGAGAGGAGAATATCTCCCATAGGCAACTCCCATGATTGCCAACATCGTAAGGCGAGCCACTCGATAGCATAGAGAGATTCGGGGAACTTTGGCACCTGCACTAAAGTCATTCGACCGAATCATTTTCCCGCCAGTATCGAATTGGGAATGCTCAACACAAAATACGATGGAAGGAAAAGGAACATTACATCGTGTTCCACAACATCTACAGCAAGACAACAGACTATCTAATATGACAATTCACTGTTAAATGAGATTTAGAAGGTTATATTGTCATTACTACGGAGTTGATGATGATACTGACTATTCCAAGTTCGGCACTCGAGACTTAGTTACCACGACAAAGGTGTTCAAGTAGTACATGGCAAGATCTAACCTTCCCGCGAAACCAGCCGAAGACCGACCCCATTAGGTTCGCCGTGTTGCACCTCAAACCGTTTAGCAGTCAGCACAATACTGCTATTGCAGGGAGAACTACAGGGTGATGCAAGAAGGGCCTATCCCTCGTAATTCCTCGGCACATGTGAGTTTCATACTAGCTCAGGTACCATTTTAAGCCCTCAGTTTGGGAGGTTTTTTTTGTGGAAACAGAGTTATACACGTTTGACATGGTAGATTATACGAGTCACAAGTGAAACGTTCATCAACCTTAACCAATCAAACAAATAAACAGAGCCCGCAGGAAGACGGGCGGAACAATGGTACGTAGTATTAGTTATACTACAGTGCGAAGGTTAAGGAATTCACCATCAACTACGATGCCGCTCACCATCAACTACGATGCCGCCCACCTCAGTTTGGAAGGTGAGTGTAAAGTTCGAGCAGTGCTTCCTCATCCCTAGGACTACTCAAATCTCGGGATGACAAAATTGAAGAATATCAAGATTCCAAGTGTTCAACTTCGATCATTCCGTCGCCACCATCAAACACAACACATCGAAAGATGTCATCGTCAGACTTTGCACATCTACCAGGCCCCTTAACCAGTGGTATACACACTGTCGCTGATACTCTAGGCTTCCCTGCCGATCAGATAGTTCTATTGGGGTGTTTACTACTCAGTATCGGGATATCGTTTTGGTTCCGTACCCTTACGACAGGCACCACTAGGCTCTACACCAGTCTTATCCTTGGTATTGGGCTTACATATGTACTGCAGGGTCCATGGAACACCGCTGTTGTAGTGATGGTAAGTATCGTTAACTACGTATTGGTGGTTCTATTCCCTCGTAAACCATCGATAGTGGCCGTAAACAGTATGTCTATACTAAGTGCCTTCCACATCTGGAGGATGAGGGTTGACTACTTAGGATGGAAATTGGATGTGACATTACCATTAATGATATTCACTGCCAAGTACGTTACCTTCGCCTATGACTGTTATGATGGTTGTTTATTGAAGGAGGGTAAACCATTGTCAAGCAAGAAACATGAGGTAGAGTATCGTATGAACAACTGCCTACAGGATGTACCCGACATTCTCTCGTATCTGTCCTATATATTCGGCTTTTTCGGTGCTCTCACTGGACCAGTTTTCTTCTGTAGAGAGTATCTCGATTGGGTATATCTACGTGGATGCTTCTCCAACCTTGATCGTATCAATACCGTACGTCCCACTATGAAGGCATTGGTAAAGTGTGCGGGGTGTGGTATAGTAATGCTCTTCGCCAATACCTTCCTCCCAGTATCAGGGATTACATCCTCATGGTTTAATGCTCTGCCGTTCCCAATACGTGTGCCTCTATTATGTATCACCGTTAGTTGGTATCGATCTAGGTTCTTCTTCTGTTGGTATTTATGTGAAGCGGTAGGTGATGCTTGTGGATTCGGCCTCTCTGATGCTAAAACGGAAACATTCAAGCGTGCGGAAAATGGCGATGTGCTCCATGTGGAGTTCGCCTTAAATGCGCCTGAAGCTCTCAATAATTGGAATACTAGAGTGGCTGAGTGGTTAAAATACTACATCTACCAACGAGTCACTAAGCCCTCCTTCATCACGTTTATGAGCACCAAGAGCTATGCTACTCTCATCACTAGATCTATTAGTGCGTTCTGGCATGGCTTCTATCCAGGATACTATCTCTTCTTCCTATGTAATAAGAGCGGGACAACGATATCATATCATCGTGAATTTCAGGTACCATCCTTGAGTCTACTGCTGATAGTATCGGCCGTCATTATCTCGGCCCGATGTTTTACGGGGATAATGCACCCTACGCTAAGTACTACCCATTCTATGCCTTCTTTGCTTGGGCGCAGACATTCTTCTCGCTGAACTACTACGGTACAGGGCAAGTGATGCTAGAGTACGGCGTGACGATGGAAGTTTGGAGGTCTGTCTACTTTGTTGGGCATATATGGCACATTGCGGTCATCGTTTTGCTCCCTATGTTGGTTCCGAAAAAGAAGAAGATAAACGGCGAAGAGATGAAGGAACGAGTGAAAGCTGAGTAATTGATAGTAAACCTTGGTTTCAGCTGATTCGTATTGAGTTGTAGTCACTGAACACAAGGCCGGTCAGATTATACTACTTATCACATCTACATGAACTAATGATGACTAGTGAATCGTTACAAAAACGGTCATCATTTCTCTGCAAATCTATACATAGCATAATTGTAATCACGAGCTTCCTGGGATGCTCGCCGTCCATGTAATTTCTGTACAACTGTATCCATAGTGCTGGATCGACCACCTCTCTTGTTCTGAGTATTCCTATCAACTTCATGTTCTGCAAGGTCCATCTAAGATAACACTATTCAGAGCAACCTTCCCTAGTAATATGTTCACCCCTAGTGACTTCTTGATAGCTATTGAGCGATCTAGGAGGTGGGTGTACTGACGATCATACATCCGCCGACGCTCTCGTGAATAGCACATGTCAGCCAATCTCCTACAATCATCAGCCATACTCTGCAAATGCTACTCATGCCCACATGTAATGGCGTTTTTCCTCATCGAGATTGGTAAGATACTCTCTTCTACTCTCCTCGCTCATAGTGGCTACAGATCGGACCTCCCACCTATGCAATAGTTGTGAGCACCTATCGAAGCGGATACAATTACTACTTAGTAACAGCAGTTGTTATTTTCCTATCTCTGGATTGAATACACTTCCCGAATAGTTGTGCCAATGCTTGACAGGTCATGAGCCCTCTGATAGTAGCGACAGATCCCTGACCACCATATGAGCAGTACTACTTCCTCGGGCCCATCGCCCTGTATTCAACACATTGTTCTAGAGTAGCAGCTGGACCCGTACAATCACTTATACCATCTACCACTGACACTGAATAATAGCAGACTGAATGCAAGGATTGAAGGAAGGATAGTAGTCGTACTAGGCATGTGACGTGGTATCTCTGGTAGTGTATATCGTTCCTTGTAGTGGAGGAATAGGTTAACACTAGGAAGGTCACTGAGGCATATATTCTCATAACTCCATTATACAAGGCCTTACTCTCGCCAGAAGCTGTTCTTACATGTCCTATCCACTCCGTCCATACATAGACTCCTAACAATAATACCGGTCCTACAACTATCATCACAGTACTATAACACAACCCCAACTTCCACTCAGCAGAAACATGTTTTGTAATTCCATATTTGAATATATGGCTCCTCACATCATCACTGTCGAGATCCTTATTCATAGCATCAAGTCGACGAGTAAAGGTCTGTATTATTAGTAGCATCCCTGCCTGGTCCTGATGGACCTACCATTTTCCTATCTACTATAGTGCATGTGTCTTCACCTACCCTCAACGCATAATCCCCAAGCGCTATACTTCTTTCAGCATTGCTTTGACACCTGTGCAACGCGCGCAGTATGAATATGAAAAAGTGAAATAAAACGCGCTTCGCTCCGTTGTCCGTTAGGATTTTCGTTTAGAGACGTGGATTGTACCTCCCTGCCCCTGGCAGTATTTGTTAAGAACCGTCGGCAATGTCCTGTTGTTACGGTATGGATAAGAAGATCAAAGATTTGAATACCAAACTTTATGAAGTTGGCCCTGTTAAACAAGCTTCGGATTTATCGGGTTTGGCGCCAGTACTAATACCTCTGGTCTATCCTCCCCTGTTACCCCTCTTGTCTCAGGTAGGGGTATGCTCCCTCCTGGCTGGAGTCTTCATTGCCTCTATATGTCTACTCACTGGATTTGCGGTCAACACCGTGTGTAATCTGGTCGGATTTTGTTACCCCGTCTATAAGAGCTATGAGATCGTCGAGGCGGCCAACCCCACTAATGAGCAGACTAAGGTAGGATGTGCCGTTGAGGGTATGTTATCCTCCATCAGGCTATACTCACCTATTGGACCGTCTTTGGCGGCTTCATGTTGATAGAGGCAATCGTCGATAACCTATTCTTCTGGGTGCCCCTGTATTACTTCCTTAGAGTTGGCTTTCAGGTAAGAGTAGTAGTCTATTACAGAACACTCTATGCATCTTATCCTCCTTCTAGGTCTACCTTTTCTACCCCGACTTCCGTGGATCTGCCAAGCTATACTCTCTCGTTTGCAAGCGCACATTGAATCAGGTCGCGAAGCTCACCCCTCTGATCACTGCCGCGCCTAAAGTACGTCGTAAGTTCTACCTCCCTTGTAGTCCTCATTTTTAGGCGACGCCGGCTACTGAGAAGCGGTCTGATTGATGTGGTGTGGATACGTGGGCTCTCATGCAAATAGGTGTCGTTAGCCTATAGTGGCATCATTCATAATACTCTTATCGCTGACGTTACATGACTATTACTACTGCTGGAAATACACATTTGAAACCATGCTACTACTAATACTGCTAATAACTAATCATCGTAAATCATCATATCCTATTACAACTGCTGCTGCTGCTGATTTAAGCATATTCATCGGCTGTTGAGTACTGTGTAGTAGGGGTTACCAAACATTCGGGGTAGTTTTGTTCTCACACTCATTAATGACTATCAGTGAGCAAGGGAGGCAAGGCCTAAGAAGAACACATAGTTTGGTATAAGCTGATGCCTCGTTATTATTCAGTCTAGTAACAAGACGTAGTATCTAGCTGTACAGCCTGGCCTCGTGTTCCTCCTGCAGCTCAGGACTTCCTATCCAGTATATTCATAATGAAAATAGACATCATCATCATCATCACCGACGTGATAGATGCAATAGCCTCCTTTGTTAGGCTCCCCTTATGTATCAGCGATCGGTCGTGTTTCCATGTGTGTGTCGGCTCCAGTTAGACGTTGTAGTTGATGTGTTTGATCACAGATCGTAACCATTCTCAGTTATCTGCTGTACATGCCTAGTACCACTACTACCTTTCTTACCTCCCAGACTGATGGAGCCGATCACCCGGTCATACGACTCAATGCTTATATATCATCGTAGGATGCATACCTTCTGTAGGTGCAGGACTATCTTACTTGATACTCAGGCATTCAGATGAGGCACACAACGGTCTCACTGTCAGAGGTTCAAGTAGTGATACACGATTGAAGAAGAGGTGTTATCTGCATTTTGCTACTACTACTAGGATGTTATCATAGTCCTATGTAGGTCCAGTCCCATACACCGGAATACGTTCAATCCCTTCTCGACAATGAAGGCTAGCTCAATGTTCACAGCAGGATCGAGAGCAGCTGTGGGATACCGATGTACCATTATCTTTGGTGCTCACTATCATGCCTCCCTCAGCGTGCGACTGCCTCATAGCATCACCCAATGCTGCCACCTTATATGATGATACTCGGACGGCGAGTGACGAACATCCACTAGAGAGGACATCGCCTCTACCATCAGGGGAGGATAGAGCCACTATTGCTGTTACTGATACACGTACTGATTAGGTGTACTGTGCTGAGCCTGTCTTTGTGAAGTTGTGACTAGGTGCCCCCAACCCTGGTGAGGTACCACCACCGTTACTACGACGGCTCAGAGTGCTTACGAGGCATCATCCACGTGGTATCCTCGGATTCGACGGACCTTCCTTCGATGACACGGTATTCTACTCTCAACCAAGGGCTCATATACTGGAAGTGGGGCCTCTTCTATCGGGGGGAGGGGCTCGTATTATCTATCGTTGTGGTTCTAACCTCAGATGGCTGCACAAAAGGACGCCCATGATAGGACAAGACTCAGCTCGCTCACTTCACAGTGGGAGGTAAAGGAGGTTGGTCTATGCATGGGATATGGACTGTGTTGATACAGAGTGCCTCGGCAGTGAGAAAACCCGAGCATGTGTATACTCCTATGGAGCCTTTAGAGGCCCCAGAGGGATGGAGGGGGCCTCGGGGGTGGGATATACCAATGCAGACTAGACATGTGGATCCTATAGAGCATCCTCAACGGTAGAGAACATGCTATGCAGTGGTATTGTTGCATATGATAGTATGGTAGATTCTATAAGACCAAGGAACGCATTTGGCCGACATTCGTCCCTACATGGGATATCCAGAGAGCGAGGGCTTTGAGGAAAGTCGAGACTCGATCGAGGAGTAGGTTCCAGCTGCCGCTGGAGTATCACATGTAGCATCTTCCAGGTGTGGATGTGTTGGGTCGGAGCGTGGCGGCCTCGGTATGGCGAGATGAGAGTGATCGTTCTGGTTTATCACCGCCCCCTCAAAACTATCCATGTTGTGTGTCAAATCGTTCTACTAGGTGTCCTGTCTGATAACGAGGGCGTTGAGTTCAGTCTCAGGCTGTGGTTGTATTGCTTATCTATTCTGGTAGTAGTAAAGGCTTCTTCTTTTCGTCCCAATCTTCCTTATATGATCATCCCTATTCGGTGTTTCACTTGCGGCAAGGTAGGAGGTGCCTCCCCAGCGGTAACCACCAGTAGTAGTATGCTTGTCAGGTCATTGGTAATAAGTGGGATACATACCTGAACCTACTACAGGAGGGCAAGTCAGAGGGACAGGCTCTTACTGAGCTAGGTATGGAGAGGTAGTGGTAGTATTATCATTCAACCGTGTTAGGTATGTAACCCTCAGCGTTGTTGCCAGGTATTGTTGTCGACGTATGCTGCTTACTCATGTAGACTTGATCGAGAAGTTATTGAACTATAACATTCTCGAGAAGAGGCAGTGATGAGATAAGTCTGCCAGTGCTGACCTTCGCCGCCTTTTATTACTGGTATAGTGATGAGGGTCGAGGGAGAGTCAAACGTTATATTTCTTCTCCCAGTGACACATGCTTGAGTTAAAGTCAGTTAGGTGGACTATAATGGGACTGATCATTGCTGTTACATAGTGTGATGCCTTCATCTGCATCAGCATTACCACCATCTACCACACATCTACCCTCAGAGGTGTCAGGAGATGATACTCTCGGCCATAGGACTCGGCTAGGTGTGAACACTGCTATTGGTGGGCCAATGCGTAGCCCCATGCATGGTAGTAAATGCCTACAGCCGCAGTAATGTATAGACATTGGATAGGTGATAGGATGGGGGGTGATGATGATGATGAGGGTTCTCGTGTGTGGGTATCTGAGCAACTTCCTACCATCCAGGAGGGTAGAGTGTCGTCGATGAGCTTGCCAGTCTCACAATCGAGCTGTACGTCGCATCACAGCAACCAGGGCTCCCTCCAGCCACAACAACAGCAGTCACATCTAGTAGCACTACGGATGATGATGATGGAGTGGTGGAGGTGCGTTGCTCAGGTAACACGAGGTTCAGTCGCCTCAGTGGTGTCAGCCTTGAGACGAGGCTCTAATAACTTCTTTGCTGAGCATGCATCACATGGCAGTGATGGCAGTGAATGGGAGAATGCTCTATCGGCCGTGGCTAGAAGGAGGGCCTCTTTGAATCTGCCAGTACAGCTATCAGATCATCATCAACAACAACCTTCGACGGGTAATGCGGGTAGTAGGGACTAGGTAGGATGCGTATGATCAGGCGGGTACGATGGTGTTGATACGGCCCAGGCAAAGGATGTGGGCCATCGACCCTCCCTCTCTGCTACTGCTACCACACCGCTCATGCATGAGGACCCTACAGCGGTGCAACAACAAGCTGAGGGCGGACACGATGAGCACCGTTGTATCGATGGAGGGACACACAGCTTTGTGAAGTACGTAGGAGCAGTTGGAACAACTTCCTTCGGGTTTTACTCTGTTGTAGGTATAACTTGGATACGCAGGAGTGGGTGATGATCGACCCTCGTGCACCGCCAGAGGTCACACCCTATGATGCTAAAGAGAAGAGGGATCATAGAAAAGAATGGGAGGTAGGGTCTCTTAACATCAGCGAATGATGGACCTTACTCAACCACAGAGACTGGATGCCGACACTCTAAGCCATCTGTTGTCCGAGGGCAAGCTGATGCCCAAACAGCCAGGGAAGAGTGCTTACCGCAAGCTATGGCTCGTCATCATTCTCACCAGCGTTCTTAGTGATGATATTATAGGAACTATTCAGAGCCATCAATATCATTTCTAGGTACGCTCCTCTCAGCTATAATAGATGCAGCTGTGAAAGTGTTAGTGTCATCGAAGGTAGTAGTAGTCTTGGTATCGGACTGTATCATCATCATCATCATCATCAGTAGTAGGACTAATAGCGTCGTCTTCATTATTGTAGGATGGGCTATCTCAATGGTTGAGTGTTGTCGTCGATGTCCTCTTTGTTCTATCTGCCCGTATACTTATGATAGCCCAGCCCTTGGCAGAAGGGAGTGGTATCCCTGAATTGAAGTGTGAACTGGGCGGGGCCAGCCATCTACTAGGGTAAGAACATCATTATCATTATCATCATCATTATCATCATTATCATCATTATCATTATCATTATCATCATCATCATCATCATCATCATCATCACTGCGTCCCCTAGTCTCCCTCTGTAGTTTCTTCCGTCCTAGCGTATTATTAGCCAAGTCGATGGGCCTGATTCTTTCCATATCTGGAGGCCTACCAGCAGGAGCTGAGGGCCCTATGGTGCACATAGCTGCTTGCATTGGCTCATCTTTGTTGAGGCTGCCCTTCTTTGCTACTGTACGGCAAATACCCAATGTAAGGCGAGTAGTAGTGGGAGGGCGATGATGATAGGCCTTATCGTATCATCATTCAGACCCGGCGACAAGTCCTATCAGCAGCTGTTGCCACCGGTGTTGCCGCTATATTCCGGGCTCCTATTGGTGGTGTGCTTTTCGCCTTGGAGGTCACATCCAACCACTTCTTCATCAACACGTAATTCCAAGTCGATATAGAGTGGTACTCGTCACTTGCCGCCCTTGTACAGGTATTGGATGTCCCTGGTAGCATCGGTTATTGGATCATTTGTGTTCGTATGTGTGAAGACCTCCCCCCTGCTTGGTCTACGGCCCTTCATGTTTAGTGATCTCAACTTCTCTAACTATGAGTCCCCACTTCGTGTGATTCACTCTCGTATACCTCTATCGCATCATACTCATCTTCCATCCTCAGGTCATAGGCTTCGCTGCCTATGGGGTCCTCCTAGGTCTGCTTGGTGGTTACTTTATCCGAGCCTTTGCACATACAGGCCGCCTTCTGGCAGATCTCCAGACATTCTGGGCGAGGCACTTCGGCCGAAAGCATGTAGTATCCACTGCGAATTCTCTTGAATAGACATGTTGTGGTGATCATCAGCGTTATCATGTTGCGTCGTCGGGCAGAGGGTTGAGGCAGGCTCGAAGGGCTCCTCTCGACCGTCAATGGGTGGAGGACAGTGCTGCTGCTGCTCCTAATACTACTACAGGAGATCGACGCGGGAGTAGTAGGGTAACTACTATAACGATGATCATGTTATCCGTATACAGGTCTCTTCGCCCCCAATGGCGATCCTAGTTTCATAAGGCCTGATGCAGTAAGTGTGTATCGTAGACGGGAGTCGACAGCACCATGGAGTGATGGAGTCTATGATCGCTACGAGTCACCACCATCACCAACATCACGGTTACCATCACTCGGACAAGACATACGTAATAGAAGGGTATACTAGATGGTAGTATTGACATCCTGAGTAGGTCATCGGCTGATACGGGGATGGCATAGGATCAGAACTCCCAGACAGAGCTGTATGTTCCTATTCCTTATTGTATTCACCCTCGTCAATTCTATAATATCTCGAGCATTACCACCCCTAGGACATTCCTACTTACAGCCACAAGTAGGCGTCATCTCACCCACGTTGATGATACCGTTCATTATGTCAGTTCTTGGCTTCTGTACTTGGCTCTGGGGATTATGAGTACCCTCTCTATCAATGGCTCTTATGTTTACTATTCAAAGTAGTCCCTTCATGCGCTGCCTTGAACACTACTAAAACCACCTCCAATCATCAGTTACCTATTACGCTTATAGTATTCAATCTACCCTTACCAGCAGGTCTTGTTATACCATCATATGTATTGGGCTCCTTGATAGGCCGTCTCACGTATGAGCTCATGCCCTCTAATACCCCCAACGATCAATATGTAATCATCAACCACTTACTTACGTTATGTCTGCTTCCGAGGTCAATCCTTCCTCCATGGGACTTGTCGGCACAGTGGCCTTCGCAGCAGCTGTAACACAGAGCTTTTCCTTGCTGGTGGCTATATATGAGGTTGCACCAAGTATGATGGTTTAGGGTGCTCAGTTAAAGGCGATGTATAGTGTGTAGGTCTTGGTACTGGTGGGATGCTCTTGCCACTATGCGTTGCAACAGTCGCTGGCGTCCTAGTATCTGGACAGATCTCGCCAAGCATATTCGATGTAATACTGCTACGGAAGAATCTCCCAGGTCGTCCAGCACTGATCAATCAACGGAGGTAAAGTGAACATCGTCGTTGGAAAGATCAACTCCTTGAGCAGAGGGATGCTACCTGTATGTGCAGTGATGACTCCTTCTAAGGAGATCCCTAAGATACAGGATGAAGCATGGAAGCATCCAGAGAGCATAGATCCAGATGTAGCAGTAGTAGATTCTACATTCCTATCCCCTCAATGCATGTCATTACCAGACTTACCTTGACTGTCACCTCCCTAAGATCCCTGTGCTCTTGTCAACCGAGAGTGGTCGTTCTATACTAGTTGCAGCGGCTCCTGTTGACCAGTAGTCTCATCTACCCACGGCTTCATGTATCTATAATTCTATCAGATTATTGGAACATTGTGGCGAGATGTCTTCCAATGAGTCAGCTGATGCATTATGTGATATGTTACCATGGTTGGATGTTTCCCCTATGACGTGCTCACCAGATGCCAGTGTATTACAAATCTATGGTAGAATGGAGTATAACTCGGAACAGGTAGAATAGACCAGGCTTATAATCGCCTTCTCATGACATTAACTTCAGATTTGTTTCGTAACTTTCCGAGGTGAACTTCTTGGTGCAGTGACGGCCGAAGACCTGTTGTACAGGTGATCAGTGACTGCTTAGGGCTGTTGTTCTTGTATGGTTGTTGTTCTCAGACATCCCGTTGTACCTATCCCTATATCACCTCCATCCCATGATAGTGGGGACTGGAGGATTACCAACAGGACGGATGAGCGTCATTTACCGACTAGTATTGATAATACGCTGTAAAACGGCTTCTATGTACTCGCTGTATTTCTGAAACATTATTTCGGAATATATTTTTGAATCATGTGATGTACTTTGCCTATATACTACAGATGTTGAATGGTTATTAGTTCGAAGGTTATTAGTTTATAACTGGACAATGTGTCGCCTCGACTATCATAACACGTCGATACAATGGTATAATATTCTTCAATTTTGAACACTTTGCAATAGTGAATATTACGGTACTATCAACCAAATACATTTTCCTGGGAAACAAGGCTCAGTGAACGTTAACGTAAGCAATTGTCAACAGTGGTACCTTCCAAAGCAATTGTTATCCACTAGGCTGATATTTCAGGAGACAGTTTATGGAATAGTAGCCGAGGTAGGAGTGCATCGCTCCTTGTACAACGACAGTGGCTTATGGTCCTACACGAATGGAATTAATCTTCGAGAAGGAAGAAGTTGCCCTCAGCCTTTTGCTCCTTATCCTTCACAGAATCAGACTTATTAATTCTAGGCCTGTAGTTGGTAGGGTCACGACGGAAGGTGATCTCCAAGGATTTCAGGAACTTGTTCATACCTGATAACGCCATCATCACTACCACTCGAGACAACAGTGTCGTCTATTACCTGTGACCAGAGTCTCAGGTGAGGAAGCCGTACACTCTATACCAGGAGTACCATCATAGACTACGACACGATCAGCGAGATATGTTGCCATGATGAAATCATGTTCCACAACGAAGGCAGTCTTCTTAGCATGAAGAATGTATCGTTTGATGACTCTAGCAGCCACAACACGCTGTTCAACATCAAGATAGGCACTAGGCTCATCGATAAGGTACACATCAGCGGGTTTACCCAATGCCAGCACAATAGCAACACGTTGAAGCTCACCACCTAAGAGGATATACGCCGAAGTCAAGGTAAGCCTGATAGTTCTACCTGATAAGTTCTGCACATTCTGATCGAGGAGTTGATCAATAAGCATTGGACGAGTGACGTCAGATACGAATTGAGGATGTAGGAACTGCGAGCGGATCTTGGCATGAAGTAGATCTCTAACCTGAACGGCAAGTGAATGGCGGGTCGCTAGGTTAAGCCTGCCACCATACTGAGCCATCGAATCTAGCATGGATTGTTTGAGGCTTGTAGGAAACGTTCATACGAGGAACCTCAGTATCGTCCTCATCAGGCTTCAGGAGACCAGCGAGCATACGAATAAAGGTCGTCTTCCCTGAAGGTATATACTAAGTGACCATGAGAGGTAATAGGTATTACCTGTTCCGTTCTGTCCTAGCATGACGATGATCTCGGAGCTAGAGAAGTTGCCCGGTTCGATGTGAAGTTTAAAGGTGCCCATAGTCTTGGTCATAGCCGGATAGTCTTGACTGTACATTCTCTTGCTATCATCAAGATCAGTGTTCTCTGATACCTTACAATAGCACATTGATATGAATGATGGTGGTATCCATGGACTATCTTACCCTGAAGTTTAAAGCGACCTCACGGAAACGAAGGTTCTCGGTGGGGATGAAACCGTCAAGGAATATATTAAGTCCTTCACGAACGGAGAAGGGCATGGTAACGACGCCATATGCAGTAGGAGTGCCCTATAGAAGGACGCTAGTGTTGACGAGTTAGGATGGTCAGTGTTGCTACTGCTTACCCATAGACAGCAAACATAATCAGACAGGTAATCCAAGACTGATAGATCGTGCTCAACCACGATGATGTAGTTATCGGAGGTCTGCAGGTCACGAATAACCTAACGAGGATACACGCAGTGAGTGCAATACTCCTGTTATGATTCGTAGTACATGAGCAGCCTCTAAACGCTGCCTGACGTCAAGGTAAGAGCTAGGTTCATCAAACATATATACTGATGCATTCAACTCGCATACTACTGCGATGGCAAAACGCTGCAGCTCTCCGCCTAAGACGACAAGCAATTGTGAAGGATGATGGTACTACCCGATACTCACCGGACAGATCCTTGATCTCACGATCGACCAGATGCTCGAGATCCAAGCGCTTTAACAATTGAGGTACTACATGTCGTTCATCCTTCCGAGCAAGGGTCTCACCTACCTGAGGGGTTGAGTAAAGAGAGGGATGTATGCTGCTGAGCATACCTTGCCGCGAACAGCCTTGGGAATGTTATCGACGTACTGAGGCTTGATGGTTGCCTTTAATTTATCCTCTAGGATCTTCACGAAGTAGTTTTGCAGATCAGAACCCCGGAAGTATCTTTCCAAGACAGTCCGGCAGATGGGATGGTTATGGTAGTGGATGTATTACTGGAGTATCTCACTCCAATCCGGGGGGTTATCGAACCGACCAAGATTAGGCTTCAGTTTGCCAGATAAGATCTTCAATGCAGTAGATTTACCAATACCTGATAAATGTTACTACGACGTGATGGTGATGTTGGTATAGGATACTACCATTGGTTCCGACTAGGCCGAGGACTTGGCCAGGACGAGGCATGGGTAGTCTGTGCAACTTGAAGGTATTAGGACCATATCTAGACACAACTCTACTAACGATGATGGTTGGTGATACTACTACTACCTATGAGTAGTCTGGCCACTGAGGTCCTTGGGTAGATTGATAATGGTAATAGCATCGAAGGGGCACTTCTTGACGCATATACCACAACCAATACAGAGGGTCTCCGAGATCCATGAGACCTTGGAATGTCTATCGACCTCCACACAGAACTTACCAGTACGGTTCACTGGACAGTACCTTAACCATCAACAAATGCACCACCCGCGGTAAACTGTTATTGAGCATCCCTTCCAACTCGATCGACCACATGCGGTTGGCATGACCCCAGACTTACTTTTTGCATTCAAGTTGACATTTCTTAGGTTTGCACCTATCCTCACTGACAATAGCGATACGCAGACGCTGCTCCTCTCCTGATCCACTTCCCTTCTTGTCCTTCTTATCCTTCTTACCCATAACGACAAGTGCCACTGTTGTAACCTCTACTGCTGCTGCCACAGAGGGATCAACGCGCACGCCATTCTAATAGATTTACTTCGCTGCTTTCGTCCGTGTTTTTTATCAGCATGGGAGTATCGCAGGATATTAGCAATGGCCGTAATGGTTGTAATGTTTGTTGCAGTTGTTGGTAGTTGGTGGCAGCTACTACTACTACCTCTACACGTTACTAATTCTAGATGTACTCGTTCAAGGAGATACAGACGGTCATACCCGCCAAGGATATGGTGGATGTTGTCCTAAGGTACTGATAGATAGGGGAAGGGGGCGTTACATTACTGACTACTATGTTAGTCGGACGCAGCGACGGACTCCTACTGAGGTTCATCCACAGTTCAAGATCACACGTATTAGAAGCTTTTACATGAGGAAGGTTAGCACCTAGGAATCGTCATCATCTCATGGGGTTTGGGGGCATTAGGTGAAGTTCTGTCAAACTACGTTCAATGAGAAGTTGCAGAAGATCCTCGACGAGTTCCCCAAGATTGATGATCTCCATCCTTTCTATGCTGATCTATGCAACGTAGGTATCACTTCGTCCTATCCCTATGGGCATTAGGTATCAGGTCCTCTATGATCGTGATCATTATAAGTTGGCTCTCGGCCAAGTGAAGTCAGTACAGTCTACTGTAGATAGTATTGCTAAGGATTACGTCAAGTTGCTCAAGTTCGCTGATTCACCGTACTAACTATCGTCACTATCGGCCATTGCGCCAACAACAGCCTACTAGATATAAGTGCAAGATGCTGAAGAGAGCTGCTCTAGGTCGTATGTGTACAGCGGTGAAGAAGTTGTCCGCTTCCTTGCAGTATCTCGAGGAGGTCCGTCAGCATCTCTCTCGACTGCCTCAGATCAATCCCCAGACCCGTACACTCATCATGACGGGGTAAGCTATTACACTACTACTACTACTATCATCGACACGAGCATACCTGTCGAAAGGTACCCGAATGTTGGTAAGTCCTCATTCATGAACATAGTCACCGATGCCAATGTCGATGTCCAACCCTATGCTTTCACCACCAAGAGCATCTTCGTCGGGCATATGGATTACAAGTAGTCTCTTAGTAGCAGTATCATCTGTCCATGCTCTCCATCAGGTACACGAGATGGCAGGTCCTTGATACTCCTGGTATCCTCGATCATCCTTTGGAGGAGAGGAATACCATCGAGATGACTGCTATAACCGCTCTAGCCCATATACCTGCTACCGTTCTCTACTTTGTTGATGTCTCCGAGCAATGTGGATTCACCATCGAGCAGCAGGTAGTACTGTCACCTCCCCTCTCGCAGCTTCTTATACCCCACAGGTATCTCTGTTTCACTCTATCAAGCCTTTATTCAAGTCTAAACCTCTATTGGTTGTGCTTAATAAGACTGATGTGAAGCCTCTAGAGGAGCTCAGTGAGGAGCAAAAGAAGTTGATAGCCTCAATCAAGCTGGATGATGACAAGGCCCTCGAGTTCTTACCAGCGAGTTGCCTTAAGAAGGAAGGGTGGGATTATCGAGTGTTCCTCTCATAGATGGGAACTCATTCCTTCTCAGTGTTGATGCTGTAAAGAACCGTGGATGTGAGATGCTATTAGAACAGAGGATTGAGAGGAAGGTAGCCCAAAGTAGTAAGGTAGATGCCATCAAGAACAGGTAGTAGTAGTAGCGGCAATGCTATTGTTGCCTGTCATCGACTGCCCTTCTCTCAGAGTGTACGTCACTGCCACTCGGGCTCGTGCTGACCGTCCGCCTTGTATTCCACAAGGTGTACGGAGTGGAGGCCAGCAACAGGATGGTGATGAAGAGGTAGAGGGTATGGATGATGTCCCTGCACGTGATATCTCTCCTTAGGCAATGCTTGATGATGCTCAAATCGATGACGAGTCACAGATGACTGAGAAGCAGCTCATGGAGCGTCATGGAGGTGAGTACTCTCTGTGGTAGTAGCAGTAGTAGTAGGGAGGATGATAGGAGACCTCCATGTGTAGGTGCTGGTGTGTACAGTGTTGATACTAGGAAGAATTGGGACCTTAAGGACGACGAATGGAAGTACGATAACGTACCGGAGATCATGGACGGTATTACCAGAAGGCGTGGTTCGAGCAATAAGGCTATTCACGTGTTGCTCAGGCCACAACATTGCCGATTTTGTTGATCCTGATATTGATGCTAAGCTAGAGGCATTGGAGAGGGAAGAGGAGGCCCTTATGTGGGGGGATGCTGACGATACTGAGGAGCATCAACGGTATGTGTGTGGGAGCCCATGTAGGGTAGTAACGTGCTTGGTCATTCAGGTGGATGAATGCTAAGGATACTCTATCACAAATCCACAAGAAGGTGGAACAACAGAAATTCGAGAATAGACAGAACAAGAATCGTAACCATTATGGTACTATCCGGAGGCAGCAGAAGCAGACTCCTGAGCAAGTGGCTGAGCATCTACGTGTCATTGGTACGATTATCAGTGCTGATAGGAGATTCATAACCCATGTGTTAGGTAATGATAATGTTGATACAGAGGCCCTACGATCACGGGCTGTGCTCAAGCGACGGAGGTCTGTTGCTGGGCTGGATGCGGAGGAGGAGCAGCCGACACCTGTCGTGTCCACCTCTCTTAATGTAGTACCATGGCTGATGGGGATGGACAGTGATTGAAGAGCGAATCTTTAGGTTGAGGAGGCTGCCACTGCTGAGGTCATCAAGAGGCAGAAGCAGAGGAGGTTGGCTAGGGATGCTAAGAAGGGAGAAGGAGATCATCATATCCCTGAGAAGAAGCCCAAGCATCTATTCTCTGGCAAGATGGGCTTCAAGAGGGATCGTCGTTGAGAACCGCAACAACAACAACGTCATCATCATCATAACAATGTATCAACTATCAACTGCTTGTGTACTCTTCCGATCGTCACCATCCCTCTCGATGTCATCGATCATGGTGTTAGTTGGGAGGCCGGCTACAGTAAGCATCATTATCTGCTCTGTCGTCGTCGCCTTCACAACCCATCACCCTTACGTTACTTGTATCTCTACCACGATAATCTAGAAGGTTTCATCGCCACCCATCATGCAGTGTTATGTTACTCGAGTCCACAACAGCAATAGTGATAGCAACGGTCTAAATGAACTTCACGAGAGCTGAGTCCCTCACTACTGGTATCGGGGCTGATGGTCGTATAGTCTCCCAGGTGATTACTTATCGTCCTACTGGGTGGGCTCATCCTCCCTTCTTCTTGTCAGAGCAAGGATATTAGATCCAAAGAGGATGCCCAACGACAACGGATGCGAGACTCTCGACCAGAGTTCCGGCGGGAATTAGGTGGTATGGCCGAGAATGTCGAGAGCTCTCTTGAAGTAGTGGCAAGGGCAGTCCACAGTTATCGTATCATGGTGTAGGCCACTGCCATAGAGGAGGCAGCTGCCAGAGCCGCGCTAGACCCTGATCAAGTGTCTGGTCATGATCCTATGCCCAAGTTCAATGAGGATGACTTTGATGTTATGGCGAAGGAACGGAGGGCTGCTAAGAGAGTGAGGGTGGAGGATGAGCAGGAGTAGGCTCTTGGTGAGGAGGGTGAGTCATGGAGGGTATTAGGTATACAGCGGCTCTGGCTAGGCAGAAGGCAGCTCGAGGGAAGTCGAAACAGGTAACTGGTGTGACCAATAGCCATTACTAAGATCATCCTGCTGTTGTATTAGGAAGCCCTCGAGATGGCCGTATTGGGTATGGCCTCATCACCGTCCAACAAGGAGGACACGGTGAGGGGGGGAGGGCCATTCAATTGAGTAGTCGTCAATCTCAAGGCACACCACCGGATCGGTTTCACTACTAGTCTAATCGCTGTCAAGGCCAAGCCGAAAGTGAAGGCCTCTGGGAACAACGACGGATCCCCACCTCATGTTCGGCGAGGGACTCAACAGCATAACACTACAAGTAAAGAAGAAGGTGGAGGAGCACTGGGAGGTTTGGTAGCGGGCTATGATAGCAGTGATACCTCCGACGATGAGGACGGCGAATAAACGTACCACGCTAGCAGCAATGGCTACCGTAATATTTGTATACTTACCTGCTGCTCAAGGCATCAACATGAAGCTTGCTTGAGTTCTCCATCCCACACTGCATTAATGTTCCGTCTGATAGTTGATCAATTTTACCTCTATCAATGAGCTCACCAGTTTGGAATACATTTGCATATATCTTCATGCCCTCTGGGGTAGGTCGTCTGTGCCCCTCCCCGTTGTGATATTGCGGAGCCCTTAGGCCCTACTTTGTATGCTCCTTCTATCGGGTCTGCCCTTCTTCGAGCGCCTTGCTGAGGGAGTGTCTCGTATCACAGTGAAGATAGGAAGGATCGAGTTTGGTTGTCTCAACTTGTTCGCTGGAATAGTAGGTCGTGATGTACTCCTTCTAGCTTTACCGTCTTCATCATCAGTCGGCGTTCTTCCTAATCTCCGAGATCATGAAGCTGCAGGACGCAGCTGCAAGGCAGGAGGATTTCCCCTCAGTGGAACTCTCTGATAAGTTTAAACTACAGAGGTAAGTCTAGCCTCGTCTGACCCCATCGTCATGAGCATTCTTGCAGTGACATTGACAGGTGGCGTCATGAGCGTAACTATTGGATATCCCTCTTCGTCCTCACGTTGTGGGTGGTGGCAGCGAGACTCACTACTCTCATCCGCCGACACCGACTCAATAAGAAGAACTGAAAGCTTGAGATGACTTACCTGAGTTGCAAACTCGGATTTGTGAAAATTTTCCCTCCTCTCATGTTCTGTGGTGTTGCTAGTATGGGGGAAGGGCTCACACTTATAGGCATTCGCTCACTTGCCAATATGGAGAACATGGGTGAGGAGGAGGTCCCGCGTGCTTCCTGTGATAACACTAATGCAAAACCGAAGAGTAAAATGACCATGGCACAGAGGAATAGAAAACGATGGCGTGATAGAAAACGGGCTAAGGCAGCACAACAGAACGATGGAGTGAAAAGGGCACGGCTTTCCGGCGAAGGATCAGAGTAGGATAATCTCGGATCAGGTATGGACACGTGTGTTTATATTAGGGGGTCAGCTGCACAGCAGCGCGGCCCACCATTGAAAACTCATCTAGTGGCATTGGGGTATAGCGGTGAAGGGCTGAAGGGGATGCAGATACAGACTAATGAAAAGGGAGAGGAGGTAGTCGATGCTGACTCGTTATTGTGGAGGTATTCAGTGGGCATCCGTTGCTACAGATTCATTCTACCATCGAAGGTATCTTCCAGAAGGCGTTGCTGGCTACCAATTTGAGCACGGAGGAGATACTGGCCGATAAGAAGAAGCTGAAGTTCAGTAGAGCAGCCCGAACTGATAAGGGAGTACTAGATAACCACAATCGTGCTGAATCCATCAAAGAATATGCAGGTGCATGCTGCATTGAACATCCTTGCCCTGGCATTGCCTGTTACCTTGGATAAGACCCTCCCACAGGGGGAGGGAGATGCGACTCGCAATGTATGGACGTTCGATGAGAAGAAGAATGTGAAGGCATTGAATGATTTCCTTGAGCCTTTGAATATGCAGGTGTAAGTCGGTGGGCGATGAGCCCATGAGATCGCCCTGTGCAGATTTGGCATCCAACGCGTATCAAACAAGTTCGATGCCCGTAAACAATGTGAACGGAGGAGATATGAATACCTACTGCCGGAGTTTGCCTTGGATGGGAAGGCTGATGCAGCCAAGTTGGAAGAGGTGTCTTGTTATTAATAATGAGAATTGATGCATTAGCATGGTCAGGTGATGTCACAGTATGTTGGGAAGAATAAGAACTTCTTTAACTTCACCGCCAAAATACCAGCAGAGGATCCCTCGGCCAAACGTCATATAATATCAATAACTTGCCAGCCTACTGAGATCGATGCCAATACCTTCATTCGGATACAACTTGTTGGACAGAGCTTCCTATTGCATCAAATACGGAAGATGATAGGTCTTGCCGTAGAGGTATGGTGAGCATCGCTTCTCAATCCCCATTGCCAATTAGGTGTGTCGTGGTAGTGCCCCTGAGGGGGCCATCGAGGAGTGTCTAGCGGCCAAGGAGAGGAAGCACATCCACTTAGCCCCTGCAGAGGGACTATTCCTGGATAGAGTATATTTCGATTGCTATAATACGGGCAAAACTAATGGGGTGGATACGGTCCCCATCGAGCCTCAAGTTTGGGAGGAGGACATCGAAGACTTCAAACGTCGTGTGCTGTATCCGATAGTGTCGAAGAGTGTGGTACCCAAGACTCGAGAATGGATAGTCGAGAATCTCGCTGTGAATCCATTCACGCTCGTCAATAGCCCAGGTTACGTTTTTGCTAGCAAGGATAAGAGCGTTACATCTACAGAGCAGGAGACTTGCTCTACTTAGCGCAGTGTTCCTCTCACAAATATGCCCCAAGTATTGCGTTCGTGTGTCGGGCGAGAGAAGATCGTCAATTTCTCTGACAAACACATACTCCTCTGCATTATGATGAAACGCCTCATTAAGGCTGATATTCATGCATTGGCGCCGAATTAATCAGTATCATCATCATCGTCAGTATCAACCCTCTTATCTCGCCCTCGTAAAATCGCTGCAACACGCTTGGCATCTCGGACAAGAGCTCTCCTCATCTCCAGTCGCACAGACACAGGAGTTTTGGCTCGCATTCTCGTACTCATTGCCTAACATTGAGCATTAATACATACATTACCTATTCCTCCCACCTCAGTAGGACTCGGTGATCCTCTGTTCACAGGAGGCTGCTGAATAGAGGGTCGCGGAGGTTCATCATGTCCAGTTCCAGGTTCACGACAGACTCGCGGTGTACCCCGACCCTGCAAGTAGGACAATGATAGCCACTGTGAACATGTCCCAGCTGGGGACCTTCTGGGTATCAGTGATCGCTAGCTGGTAAGGATTCCACCGACTCTCATCCACGATGCTATACCCAGGGGGGCGAGGGTCCGAGAAGGGTATCCAGGACTCAGACGGAAGAAAGTGTGATGGACAGTCAAGTGCCGCCGGAGGATATGTACCCTGTGTACTCAATGGGAGAGGAGATCTAGCCACTGATGCAGCTTACTTGGTGAAGGAGGCGTGTCTCCACATCCTTGTACTTCTCAGCGACCTCATTGGCCGTCAGCTCAAGACGAGCAATGCGATCATTGAGCTTCTGAATCGACAAGGCATACGACATCATCCGGTACACTGTTTGAAAGGGCTCACGGTTAGCTGCACTACGGCTTCTATATCGACCACTGGTGTCGCCACCGGTGATGGGTGCTTGACAATGGCTGTTACCTACGAGCCGGCTGGGCGCTGCTGCGCTCTTCGTTGACATCCTACTTGGCTACTATCCTGTGGTCCTCCTCTTATCGACGCGCGAGCCTCCCTAACTTCCCTTGGGCTCCTCACCACTGATTCCAGTACGAGCTCTGGTGACACGGAGGTATCCTTCATAATGGGGGAGTCATCCCCCTCTAGCCAGGCATCCATAACAACTCCTGTTTGGAGTACTGTAGGAGATGTTTGAACTTGGATATGGGAATGCTGACACAAGACATTAGAGTGGAGGGTCATATCGACAAGATGTTCATATCACTTCCTGTAAGGAGGAGTCCGGGTTGGAGATCTCCTCATCCACCATTTTTGACGGTGACGACTCGGGTGACATCTGAGACACTAGGTTCTGCAGTATGGGAGCACGACACTCACCAACAATCCGCAGCTATCCGCTTTTATGCCTGAGTCATAATGATCCTCACGAATAGCCTCCAGCGGTTGATCAATTGTTGATTGAAGGATCACCGTCGAAACAGGAGAGGTCTGCTCTCCGGCTTCTGCTGCTGCTGCTGGTGCTGGTGCTGGTGCTGGTGCTGGTGCTGGTGCTGGTGCTGGTGCTGGTGCTGGTGCTGGTGCTGCTGCTGCTGCTGCTGCTGGTGGTGGTGGTGGTTTAGTTCCATCAGCATCCTCCAACGACAGAGTAGGTGCCCTCGGTCGGGCTACTTCCCCGAGGCTCGTTATAGAGGATAGATCCGCTCCACGCTCCTGAGGGGGGACTACTGCAAGAGCCGGCCCCTAACACAACCCACCGCGTGCTTCTCCTCTTCATATCCCACATGGACCGAGCCGGACATCGCCCCGTTTACAGTGAATGCTTCTAGCTCAGCTATCCTCCTGGAGAGCTCCTGAGTGGGCAACTAGTGGGCCCAGCTCAGCTAAAACCACGTACGTCAATCCTTCTCATTGTAGTATCATCATCACAGCCATCCTCCATATTACGACAACACTCTCTCGTTATACACTGGGAGTTCAGAAGAATAGATTTTGGAGAAGTTGCCTCAACATACAACGCCGACGTACCAAGGTGTCGTCTGTAGGATCGTCATCCTGCACCATATCATGTCCGTTGCCTCGTGTACACTCGAGAGCAACAGAACCCTTCTGGACATCTGGTTCTTGCCTCTCTCCATCCTCCGAAACGCCCTGGTCGCCTCGATTATTCTGACCAATGATACGAGGTGGACATTTATCCGGCCTGTATTCGACTTGCCCCATCGGCTTGAGTGCTCACTTCGGCGATCACACTGAAGCCCTTGGGTATCTTCCCAGGCCCAACTTGCAGCTCATTCTCTATTGTCGGTGTCGTCTCCTCCATAGCAGGCACCGAACCCGAGGGTATAGCCTGAGGAGCATAAAGGTTGTGCCAGTGATCGAGAGCCTATCTCCTCACCTGTCCTCCATCACTGACTCTAGCCGTATCATCTCTATTAGTGAGGTATTTCACCTTCTCATCCATGAGGGTGAGAACACGGAGTAGAGTTTGCGCATCTGAGGGTATCGCAGCATAACAATCCCTGGGGCACACGGACCTGTTACCAGCATACGGTACACGATCGTAATCGATATTAACGCCATCATCATAATTCGGGTGGACGGGAGGCAGCATGACCTCCCCCTCATCCTACAACAGAAGTCGATAGGGAGGGTCCCAACAATAAGGTAGTCCTACCTCCTTCGAGGGCGGCACATCCCCCTGGGTTGGGTCTACATCTACCCCATGGTCCTGGGTCATAGCTGAGTCCATGCCTGTATGCACCTTGTGAACATGAACCCATGGGCCGATAGCGATAAGATCATCCGTAGTCATACTGTTGGGGATTGACTCGTACGAATAGCCTCCGATAAAGGCCCCATACTGTCAAACACAGTCCTACCATTTTCATTATAGCCAACCTCCATTGTGTTCTGAAAGGCGTTAGAAACTTTACGAAGACTCAAGGGTGTTGGAGAAGCGGCGGGCCTATCCTCAATTTGGGCGTCCCATCGCCTCACCACGACGTCGTTGGTGACAACGTGATGATTCTGTTCAGCCTTTTCGGGCTCATCTCCTATCAGCTTCTCATCGCACTCAGTGTCCATGCCAACTTCTTCTTGATTCTCGACTTGGTTAAGGACAGCCTCCATAGTAGCACACGGATGGTCCTGAGCATAGCAACAACAGATACCACTGGTTTACGTCGGCACCCTTACTTGAAGAATATTCGGACATGCACTCTCAACTGCCTTTTCTAAAGCACTAGGGGTTGCATTTCGAGCCTTATCTTGTACAGTGAGTGTTGGGTGCTCATCCTCCGTCAACGTAACATCCCGTGGTTGCGCCACGACCTAGGCGCTAGTAGTGGGAGACATTGAGAGCGGCCAGGCTACATCAGCGTCATCCGCAACTCCTTTCGAGTGACCTTCCTTGCTTGTGAGGTGCTTTACTCTCTCGTCCATGAGGTTTAAAGCACGCGTGAGAGTGAGCGTATCTAGGGTTATGATACTTCAGCGCCCACTCTCTATGCATGCACACCACACTACCGCTAGTCGTCATGCCATCGTAGTCGATATCAACAACAACAACTTCGGCGTTGGTGGGGGCACCCGGTTCGGCCTGCAAGGGTGAGGCTCGGAACAGCATAGCAGCGAATGATTGATGAACGATAGGTAGGATGGATGACGTACTGCCTTCGAAGGTGAGGTCCTCGCCTCGACACTCTGCTCTCTCTCCTCGTGGTGATCAGCCGGAATGTTTGGATCGACAGTTTCGCATTCCTGAAGGAATAGCGGGCACCTTCTTGGTATTCAATGCTCTAGATGTTGTAGGAAGTTGACAGGATTCCATAAGTCTGCTGCTCACAGGTTTCCTAAGTAGTCACCTATATCTCTTCAAGAGCTAGGGATAGTGTAGGCTAGCTCAGGCTCGGAGAGGCGAGCTCATGATCCCCTTAATCAAAGTGAACAGAGTTATCCATCGAATGTCTCACCGGAGTAGTAAGATCAGGCGGCGGCTGCACTGAAGCCAAACCTTGACGAGGGCGTTGGTATGAGGGCACTTGGGGTAAGTTGGAAGGTTGGGAGACGGGGTGAGGGGCCAGCACCTCCTGTCGAGGTCCCATCCGCTGTGGGGTCTTCGTCTGTTGCCGGTGGCGGCGGCCGCGACGTGCAGCAAGGGCATCTTCAAGAGGATGCCGGTTGGTTGATATATCAACGAGTAGTTGACAGGTGGCCAGTATCTGGGGTGATAACTGGGGGAAAAGGGAGAGGATGAGGAGCAGCATCCTTACAGCCCCACTCCATCCCGATACACAGTCTACCAAGGCTTCCATGCGGACTAGTGCATTATGGGACAATGCTGCCAGGTCACGGGATGACAGGTCCAAGGCTACTCGTCCAACACCATACCTAAGGCATGGGTATGGAGGGCTGATACAGAACCCCAAGCATCCCACAGTTGATATTCCCCCTGCCACAGTTCCACGACCGCCTGTACTTTAGGTGGCTGACCACCGCTCCTCCCGCCCATCGTGTCGTCGTCGTCGTCCACTACCAATGAGCTATTGATGATGATAGCAAGGTCATAGAGCTCCGCATCCCCATGGTATCCATAACCATCTCGAGGCGCATGCAACTCTTGAGTAGCTGTACCACTGTCACCACCCTTAAGTCGGACAATCAAATCCTCAGGGAGGGGAGGTCCCCCATCAGCTGGACTCAGAGACTGCACTCCCATGTACACCCATATGTCATCATCATCATTTGGAATTGGGCGAGCAATTGTCATCGGTGTTCCGGATAGACCCTTCTTCGCCGACTTATCCACCACCGGTTTCTTCCGCCCTGCTCGATTCTCCGACTTCGGTGTAGCCTGGCGTTTCGGTCGTCGCTGAGGGAATTACTCAAGCTGATAGTCATGATGGTATGGCCCACCTTGGGATCTCTGCTCTTTTTCGGAGTACTACCACGCTGCCCTTGTTGCTGTATTCGATGACTTTCATACTTCACTGGCCCATCTGACTCTGACGCCCCACTGTATGCTCCGCGGTCCAAGGCAGCCTGTCTATCGAACATGGGGTCTGCAGCTAGAAGCTCTGCCCAGTGGCGATCAGAAGGACGGGTCCCAGAGGATGGGAGGAATCCAAAAGGCTCCGAGTAGACTGCAGCCAGCTGTAGAGCTGTAGACACACAAGTATCCTGCTGTTCGTCGCTCTCAGCACGTGGCAATGGTGCCTCGGGAGCAGCGGCGGCGGCGGTAGCAGAAGGCCTCGGTACTCCTTGTGGGGATGGGTGAGCTGGATGCCCTATCTGTGATGGGTCTCGGAGGCTGGCTCCTGAGTCTGAATGAAAGAGGTATAAAGAGAACAGCTAGAGGCAGTGGTCTTTTACTCTGTCGGAAGAGCATAGACCCATCATAAGGCCCACTATTAGTGGAGGGAGTAGGTCCATCTAATACTGGAGAAATAAACCTCGAATAAGAGGTTGGCGGTGTTGGCCCCAGAAGGTAGGTCGGCGAGGGGGCAGGGAGCTCCATCACAGGTGGTGCTGGGCGGTAGGTGGCGGAGGAGGGATATTGCCTCGACGGAGGGTGAATTTCCTGACGAAACTAACGATAATAATGCCATCACGATAGTTCCTGCACCCCGTAGTTAGCCTCAAGGAAGTTGCCATAGGATGGAGTAGCCCCACTGGTATGTGGTGGTGGCGAGAGGGTTCGAGGGCTACTACCGATCGGCGGTGCTCTGAATCGAACAGTCGACTACTCATGCGATCACCGTGCGTGGACAGTGCTCTCACTTGTTGGCTGTAGGACCAACTACCGCTACCCGGGAAGATGGAGGACGGGCGGCAATGGGGAACTGATGCGGTGTATTGGTCTTCCAGAGTACACTAAGTTTCACTCGCAGCTTCCGGGTACTGGCCTCTCCGTGAGTGTTATGAAGAGGGAAGCACCTACAACGGTGGCGATTACTCTGATGGTCCTCACAATGGGTGAAAGCAAGGATCAGATATGAATAGTTCGTCTACAGCGAATGAGGGAAAAGAGTTCAGAGCTGGAGGAGGAGGATAATAGAATCCACAATCTCCTCAGCGTATTGATCACCCTTCAACCCGCACTGCCATAGTCCCTCCCGCCCTTGCTTCTGCGACTGCTGGCTGTAGTGGTAGCCTACAGGTGTGTGATACTTCATTGGTGTTGGGCTCTGATGATGGAGTCACGGCTCGCAGGGATACAGAGCGTGCATCTGAGCATAGTTGATCCTAGTGCAGATAGGAACAATACTGTTGGCTGAGCGCCGTGGACTTACCATTCAGGTACTTGAGGAATTTAGGTGGAGTGCATCGGATACTGTAGGCTATACTTGATTTATCAAAAGGTGTTGCAGTATTGGCGGGCCTGATAATGATGATGATAGGTTATTATAACAACAGCATAATACACTCTTCATTACGTGAGTAACAGCTGCGTGCTGGGGGTAGCGCCCTCCTTCGAGACCGGATCACCCCACCAAACAACACGGAACTTTACAGCTGTATTGCCATTGGGAGGGTCTCCCTCCTCCCCCTTTCTCCATCCATCCCTCTGTTGCGGAGGGATGTCCACTACCTCATGCAGTTCCAGGGATAAGATGCCATAAACAGGCCCTGTGACACTTGGTGGTAGTGATAATTCCGGGGAGGGATCAGAGGCATTGGCTGCAGACGCAGTGGGAGGCATCGATGGACTGGGGGGATGATGACGATGATGATGACAGCAGGTACCCATATTTACAACACCGAGCCATCACTATAGGGGCAACTACGCTTGATGCGGAGTTGATAAAAACAAAGATATGATGAGAGCGGAGGAGAAAGTGCCTGTCGCTTCCATCAATGGAGTTATCATAATCTCGAGTCTGTTCGAGTGCCATTCCCGTCCGAGTGCTCTGCTGCTTCTCAACCCTGCAACCGCTTGAGGGAAGCTTCTATCTTACCGATGTTGATGCGGATAAACATTCCAGCCAACAGTCCAATAATACCGTTTATACTCATAACCTAACAGAAAACAACAGTAGTAAGAGTCGATGTTAGTGTGGTGCGCAAGGAGAGGATAGAGCTGTGGTTACTGTATGAGGCGAACGCTATCTTTAGGATAGGAATTCAAATGGGCCCCAAGAGCAGCAGAAGCTGATCAAGTTGTTGCCGTAGAGAGGGCTTCTTCCATCTGCTATACCCCTCTTGGAGGCTCCCTACTCACTATGAATGGCAGTCTATGGGACGGGTCTACATCGAGCATGTAACCTCCCAGTAGTGGGCCGATGACCATACTCAGGTTCTGGGTGCTCATTACCATCGCATTCACATATCCTACACACAAGTGGGACACATATTAACTCCGGAAGCCTCCCGCCATAATCAGCATCATCGTCACCCACCTCGCTTATGGTTGGGTGCTATTATCTTGGACACTACTGGTAAGGAGGCTAGAGCTAATGTATTACCTACAACAACGAAGTAGGAGGGGAGTGGTACAAGGGATTATGGTACCTAGACTGAGGCAGTATCCTAGCACAACGGTAGGACCTATACTATGCTGCAGGTATGCTACACCAATGATTAAAGTATGGCTGAAGCATCCGAGACTGGCTACTGTCGCTATATTCCAGCACCTGATCATGTATGTTGGAGTACAGGAGGTACGGGTGATGGTTGCTGACACTACTACTTCGTTAGAGGGATGAATACGAATAGATTGGCTACAAGGGTGACCAGGCCTTGTGAAGCTAGGATGTAGCCAGTAGTGTCCGGTGCGAGGTCCCAAGTAATAGCACATATTAGGGGTAATAAGGTGATCCATGATGAGAAGTTGAACTGTATTGTAGCACCAAGTATGATACTACAGACAAGGACACTCCACCATTCATACGACTTCATATATTCATCCGTCTTGGATAATGTTGATACCCCAGGAGGTTGTTGTTCGATCATACCGGGTGGCGTAGGTCGACAGGTGGCAGCTGCAGATACCACGAGTGTTGTAGGAACTTGATACAGATCGAGGGACTCCGAAGATTCATAGGTCCGATTATGTCGGCGATGGACGACCACTGAGGACGATGCATCTGGTAAGGGTTCCTGTGGAGTGGCAATCTGATAGCAGGGCCATAGGGGAGGGGCTCACTTGCAGCCACAAGCCGGCTAGAAGGGCCACAGATGCGGTGACGATACATGCTACCCATAGAGGGGTTTGGAGGCTTATGGTAGCCAAGACCTGAAGGATAGCATCATGATCAGCATCCATAGGGGAGATACACTACTCCTCCTGCTCCACCTGCTAGGCATTGACTAGCTGCCACGCATAGTCCGATAAGGGACGAATAAAAAGGCATTGCTGTTGGGGTCACCTGATGGACTTACCTCCCTACATTAATACTGATGGGATGGACTACCGTATCAGCTAGGTATGCTAAAAGGACAGGTCTGGTACCACTGAATAGGCCGCCGATGAATCGAAAGAATACAAGAACAAAGAAGGACCATGCCATGGCCTGAGCAAAGCCTCTAGCCTGGACATATCTATGGGTAGTACCTGTCCAAAATAGGCAGCCGCTGTACCACTGAGAGCCCATAGAATAACTCGGGCTCTACCATAGGTATCCGACATGGATCCGAGTATTAATGAAGATATAAATAGTCCAGCTCCGTATCTAACAACGATAGGCTCGGTGGTGATGATGATGCCAGGGAAGTCCGGAGATGTGTCTGTAGTACGATGACATCAAAAGTGAGTTGCCTGTCCCCGAGCTCATCGAGGTAACATTGAAATAGATAAGAAAGTAATACCCTAGCGGTGCTAGGAGGGTGTATCTGAGTAAAGGAAGGAAGTCTCCCTAATGGAAGAGCCCTTCAGCCTACCCCATGAAGTCGACGATGACGGTTGAGTATATAAGCAAGAAGTCGAATAACCGTCGACGATCAGAGGGGGATTGACGGAGAGACCCACTAGAAGTGGGCTCGGTGACGTGAGCTCCAGCTTGGGGAATTAATGGGAGGCTTAGGTCACCTGATATAGGGGGTACAGTGTATGCAGGAGGATATGCTATCACCAGTGTCTGGTGTTGGCTGATTGTCAGCATTGTGACGAGGATACTCCCCACGCCATGATCTACCCATGTACGAGTAAGACTGATCAAGTATCCAGGTTGTTCGAGTACCTTTATCAAACCCACACGCCGCCGCCCAGGCAGCCCCATTTCTAGACTGACTAACGCAAACATTACACGAGTGGTTGAATAACAATCACAAGATATACTCATGGTATATCAATGGTAGAAACTATAGAGGGTTGATGATTCTTGAGGGAAGTAGAATTCCTCGATACCCATACTACGACTGGTCCAGGCCTCGGCAGTGCAACTAGTGAGCCTTCAGAGATATTCTCGAGGACGACATTAGTCACCAGCATCATCTTCGTAATCAGAGCATAGAGGGAAGCGACTGAGACTGGATGAAAGACTGACGGCCGAGTTCTGTCTGCAAGTCCTGTCCTAGTTCTCGATGTGATGATACTCGACTACACTGCAGTGTCGTATCCTCAGCTTATGGGGAACACTCCCCTATCTCTTTCCCTTCAGCGATTTCGAAAGTCGCCTAACGACAACGCTCAGGTTAGGCGTGGGCATAAGTCACGTATAATAAGTGACCTAATCTCAATCGCGATGAACAGACCCCTCCCTACTGCGGTGAACAACACAACATATTCGTAGTGCCACATCAATATCTGACTTATCCGTCCAAGTAGTACGACTAGAACAATTAGAAACTGCCTCTATCGTCGTGGTCATCAAACGCCATAGCCAATATTGTTAGGCAACAACATTTACTGGGAAGCAATGTGGTTATTAAGGAATCGGAGTCCCTCGTTATCCTCATCACCATAGTTGGTGACGGCGACAACAGAGGCACCAACAACCTTGCGAGGGTTGCCATCCTTATCGATCTTGCATAGGCCAGCCCACTCGCCGAGCTGCTTGTTATCAGGAACCTCAATCAGAGGGACGTTCTGCTCAAGGCAGAGGGCCTGGATGAGCTTCTTGTAGTTATCCTCGTTACAGGAGGAAGCAAGGAAGCACACCTGAAGAGGAAGGATGAATCTACATGGTGATGACCCACCTAGGAGTGGTGTATCGAAATTATATATACCCATCTTACGTTGGCACGGCTGGCCTCCAAGGCCTTGGCGGTCTCGTGGAGACCCCTGACAAGACCATCAACGGCGATGGCATTCTTGAGAACACGACGGATGGCAGAGTTAAGGTCCGTAACTGCCTCCTCGACCTGAGATACAAAGACATACTGCCTTCCTCCATCAACAGACTGCCTCCTCGACTACCTCGATAGGCTGGTCGATCTCCTCAGCAGCGTCGATGTCAGACATGATTATGATGAAGTGCTTGTTATTGGCAAGTTTGGATACCAACCACCCGTGCAGCTCTGTGGAAAATCGATCAAACGATCGATTTATCGCGCATGTCCAGTGCGCCTGTCATGGAATGCTGTACTTTAGGCGATCTCTTCCATAACAAGTGTTAGGACACCTCTAGCAGATTGCCCGACGATACGATTCCTGCCCACTACTAACGCTGTCGTTAGGCCCGTGGGGCTGCAGCACTTATCCACGTGTGGAGTCAACCCTAACTTGGCACTCCTGTATAATGGAGAGAAGCCTCAATGGTGTCACCGAAGCTGTAAACTGCATTGTCCCCGGCCTGTCATAGTCTCCACGGTAACGATCTCGTTTGCTTATGAGCTTGGCGAGGGAAGGCGAGAATACCGGTAGTAGTAGTACTACCTACACAAAGGCTCAGCATGGGGTTTACTCACCCTTTACCACCCTTCCTTAATGTCATGCCATGGTGATTACGATGGAGAGGCATAGTCCTGTGATGTTGATGAGCAACTCCATACCACCATACATCCACCCAAGATGCCTCAAGCACTGGGAGCATGTATCGGTAATGAATGTGCCCTAGCATCCGCCCTATTTGAGGGAGTATACGATTTTCGTATAGACAGGATATACCCGGACGCATAGGATCACTATATTATCATTCACGACTTGATTCCTATTAATTCTAGCCACTTCCGTACTCGATCGAGGTTGCCTGGTTACTTCCCCCATAAGTTATGATTCATAGCTGATAACGACAGTTACTGTGAGCATGGTCATACCAATCCCCGCCCTGCCACGAGATAATGCTGAACCTACTGATTTCGCCAAGGAAGGTAGTACGTGGTGCAGGATGTATAGTATTGATGGTCATCATCATCAGCACGACCAGTGATGGTTATCCTTATAGTTCTACAACTGACATTGGGCTCTTGTCGGCTATATACATTGGATATCTTTGGTGGTGTATGGACCATTGTATTAGCATGCTTTGGTATATGGGCTTATGCCGGGAGTAGAGGACCTTATATGAATGACGTCATGTAGGAAGATCCCTTTTCGTCATGGATGCCCTTCTCTTAGGTTCTGGGGCCTCCTCACGTTTTTCTGTATGTGGATATTCGATCTTATCATGTTCCTAGAAAGGGTATTTAAGAATCATACACCGCTATTTATAAGCAGCTCTCCAAATGAAGGCAGTTCCTTCAAGTAGTGTAGAGCCTGATTACTCTCTCATATGTTGGTCATTTAGGCATAATTTCGCTTCGTCAATACTCATAGCCGCACTCCTAATCGATATCTCGATACCCCTCTTTGCTGTTGTATTATACAAGGTAACTTACTAACCTGTATTATATAGTACCGCTGTCCCTAGGAGCGTCGATCTAACTGGGAGGCCCACCATATACTCCACACTGATACATCATCAGTGACCACACCTTCTACCCGTACTACCTCACATGGTGCTGCCGCCAGCTTTACAGCCTTCCAAGGTCTCATAGGGCATAGGGGAACTCGAATGATAGTGTTTGGGTCAGGTAGAGGTAACAGCCTTGGAGAGTGATAGTCACTTGTATGCTACCCATGCTTAGTGCAACTTTGTCCGTACCAATCTAACTGTTGTGTTGAAACTGTTAGTGCTCAATGTGATATACAGTGATGATAAGATGGCCGTCCATAAGCCTCATGGTAGAACACTATTCATATCCCTACGTGCTGCATTGCATGTGGCATTGATATCATTCATACTGTGTAACGACCTACTGCCTCGATACAAGGCTTACATTCCTCCCATGTAGATATAGCCCAGTCGCCATGGTTGGAGATAACATGTGAGGAAGATATCTATGCTGCTCCTGTAGAGCATGCACTATTCGGAGGGGACGAGCATCTTAAGGCACATACTAGCGGTCATTCCCTCCCCAATGGTAACCAATATTCCGTCATTGTTCTTCATACTGATATTGTGGTCTAAGGTCTAACCCAACGTGACAGACTGGACTCACTCGTAAAGACCTATGCAGCGATGGTGAGGGCCTTCGAGGAAGTAGGCTTGGATGTATTCCTCGAATCAAGCTGCCTCATAGGGTAACGTCAAGGTTTTCCCAATACACTCGATAACTGCTGTCCAGGTACGTCCGTCATAATGGCAACCCCATACCATGGGATATGGATATTGATATAGGTTATTATGGATTCGATGGACTACGATGATAGCATCTCTCAGGTTTGCTCCAAGATGACTGTCGTAGAGTATTCCCTGGGGGTAATGCCGAGATGTATCATAGGATATCGGCATTACTAGGGCCAGAATATTCAGTGGATAAGATGGGATGCGACTGTGGGGATAGCTGTGAAGGGGATGATGGCAGGATGGTACTACGTTGAGGCCTATTGACAGTACCATCATCACTCTACAGGTTGGACATGTTGCGGACAAGGTGACAGGATTCGGTGTTGATATATTCTCCTATGCTACGGTTACACCCGATGACCTACGTCCTTGGCAACAGCAGGATGGTGGCCGATGGCTAGAGAGGGTAGTAATGGATTACAGCTCCTTCTATTCGTTCGTATTTCATTACGGATACTACCGAACTCCCACCTGGCCTAGTGGTATTTGATATTGTCGTCTATCATGTTGGATGCTTATAGGTAAAAGACCGAGATGACTACACCTTCCCAGAGGAGGCTTTACTCCCCCTCCAGAGAGCAACATTCGCCGGTACTAGGCCTCTACTACTACTGCTACCAACTGTTCTATAAACTCATCATACAGGTGTGGATGGTGTACTCCTGCCCAATAAGCCTCGTCTATTCTCTAGCTACGAGTATGGCAGTAACCTTGAGATACATCCCTTCCCATGGGGGTTCCTAGCGTACTCTAGTATGCACGCCTTGGGATACGCTATAGTTATATTGTAATGAGTTTGACCTCTACTCCTACCATCACCATTTTCCATACCGCCAGATACCTCATTCTCGAGTTCCCCGACTCGTGGAAGGACAAGAGGCTTCCTTATTGGTTTTACACAGCGTTATGCCTGGCTGTACTCAGAGGAGGCTTCCAATCCCTCTCTGTGTGGGTATTAGTCAACCTCATGCCCTGTACTATCTCTCACCATCGAACTTTATCGAGATCCCTACGGATAGTCTTCAATATGTATATGGTTTATGTATTTCGAATAGTGCTCAAGTCCCTATGGGCTCAATTGATGGAGATATTTGTTAATGGTGTTCGTCCTGATAAAGTATATACAATATGCATCGGCAGTAGTAACTGTTACGACTTCCATCTCTGATGATCTCCATGATGCCTATACTTCCCTCTCCCTTCTTACAGCATCATCTGTCGATCCTCTTCGCTCACCATTGCTCGATCAATTCGCTAAGAACTCGTTTGTGCGTCTCGTGCAGATTTCGTTGAGTTCATGGTGTAGCCATGGTATGCAGTATCCTGAATTCTGTTTAGGTTTTCTCATCATGCATCGAGACCCTACCCCTATCGTAGCTGCCCTTTCTACAGTACTATTGAGCACCTTGGGAGCACTCGGGATTAATAGCTATGTCCCCAATGCCTATATGGATGAGATATTCCACGTCCCTCAAACACAGGCGTACTGCTCGGGTCACTTGAAAGAGTGGGACGACCACATCACAACCCTCCCTGGGCTGTACTTCTGGGCTGCTGGTACACTTCACCTCATTGGGGTATCTTGTACGACCGCTAATCTCCGCCTCTTCATGTCGATTATCCCGACGATCCTCACGGCTGCCATAGTAACTTTGCTCACACCAAAACGGCTACCACATAGAAGTATTCGTGTTATCATAGTGCTCCTATATCCGACAATGTTCTTCTATAATAGTTTGTACTACACGGACACGGCCTCGACTGCCCTGGTTCTCGCTACTCTATACCTTCATGTACACCGATGGTATACTCTGGCAGGGTTGGTAGGTGCAGCTAGCGTCCTTTGTCGACAGACTAACATTGTGTGGCTCTTTGGTATGGCCCTACATCACTGTTTAGTCGAGGGACTGCTGCCATGCATCAGAGCTCGTAGGGGTAAGGCTTTATAGGGGGAAGGCACTTCTCATCACCTTGCAGTGATTCTTTCAGTTGACATGCACCGTCTGCTGGCCGTGATCGCATCCCTGTGGACGTATATTCTGACGGCTCTCGGATTCATCGCTTTCCTCCTCTATAATGGATCAATAGTCGTGGGACATAAGGAGAATCATGTGGCTTCATGGCATTGGGCACAGGTAACGTGTACATATCATTGATAGATAACTGAGACATTCGGCAGCTGATAGGAAGATGCTACACTATTGACTAACTCTCGTCTATGGTCCTCAATTCCCACACTCTTCAGATACCATACCTCATCCTAACAGTCACTTTCTTCATGGGACCTCTAGGCTGGTTGAGTACGATACGATCTGTCATTAACGGCGGCCCTCTGAGACCTATAATGGATACTGGGGTTATGACCGTATCCTATCTCATGCTACGCTTCGGGACTATCGTCCATCCTTTCCTACTCGCTGACAATCGCCACTTCACATTCTATTTATGGAGACATCTACTTCGTCACTCCACATTTAGAATTGGTGTACTACCGCTTGCAGTTATGGTCATTGTCCGAGGAATCGGCAACTCAGGATGGGCAGTACGCTTCTTCCATAAGACCGAGAATAAGATTGCGGTAGCCCCGATTGATTCAGCGGATAGGCATCTCTTTTCCGAGTGTTCAGGCCGTAGTATTCGCCTTATGTTGCGTATTGGCCCTAGTGCCGTCTCCCTTACTGGAACTGCGATACTTCAACATTCCCGCGCTAGGAGTATTGCTCGTGTATGTAGACTGTGAGGATAATGCGACCAAGCTCTGTGCTACTGCTGCTTGGATGGCGCTGATTAACACATTCGTAAGTCAACAGTATTACTCGATGAGTCGTCCCGTATACACCGTACTTTCAGTCATTGTGGATATTCATCCAACGACCTTTTTTGTCACCGGCGTCAGGACAACTAGAACGTTTCATGTGGTGATTCTCATTGTATGTATTGTGTTACTTTCAAGTATACTTCTGATTGGATTATCACTGGGATCACATGCTGATAGACATATACCGGCAAACCGTCATATACCATCGATGTCAGATGCTTCCAGCGATATATCCGTAATTATTGAGGAATTTCATACTCTAGATAGAGTAGAATGCCACGAGTACTCGTTCGAGGTTTGTCATCGTCTCAAGGAGTTGTCAGTTTCTATGTGGAAAAGTGCAGGTCATGGACAATCACTAGTCAACCGCGGTCACTCGTAGGATAGTAGTAGAAAATACCCATGTTGTGTTACTCTTCCTGAGATGCTCCTCCGGAAAAGGCATTAATCGAAAGTCTCAGGATAACCAGCGAAAGGATTATAAAGACACATTCCGGGAGGGTGAGTTCGACGTATGATGACGGTACTGTCGTCTATTGGTAAAGAAGACTCTTTCTAGGACTTACTCAATGCAGAGTGGTAATGCTATGAAAACGTTCACATAATACAAAAAATGTCCAGTCAGTACTCGTTTTATTCGGCTTTCAAGTATAACAACATACAATGGACTGCTCGTTCGGGCCCTATTGAGGATATTTTAAGTCGTCATGATGAAGGCTTGTTCGCCATTCATTCACGTCCCATTGCCGGCACAGTGGTACCCCGACCCTCCTCAGCCATAGCGAGACCAGAGCTGCTATTGTTGGTGGTCCCTGGCTGCAATGTACTACTAGATGGTGAGCCTTGTACGATAGAAGATGGTGATGGATGAGTATGATGGGTATCATCGTCTGTAGGAGATGGTTTCAATGTTACATCATATTCATCAAGATCCTTCTCCTCATAATATGACATTGTACTCTCAGCCGATGCTAACCGCAGAACCCTATGGTCTCGAGGTGTAGTAGCAGCAGCCGAGTGGATAGGCGCTCTTCCGAATGTTGGCTGACAACGAACATCATCACTACCTCCGGGAACATCAATTCTCACAAGAACGCATTACTATGACGGAAAAGCGATCCCACCGTAAGCTTTGAAAAAACGTGAGAATAGCAGCAGCATGTGCTCAAAAATAGCAGCGACGGACAGAATATCAAATGGAGGAGGAGGAGCATTAGACTCTATGTGCTACAGTTCAACGTCACTCATTATGGATAATATGGCATTCCCTATTAGTTTCACGATTACAGTAGGGCTCCCAAATCTCAACCTGTTTTTACCGAATCGAAGGGATTCTCTCCAATGGCACTTGATCCTCCTCCTTCTCCACCACCACCGTCACCATCATCAGGTACCTCTTTAAGCCTGTCAAACTGGGCTTCCTCATTAGTGTACCTGTTGGAGTGGTCAGCAGAGTGCATCGATCCAATAAGCGTGAGCTCACCTTATCCGTAAGGTAGAGTATGTTATTATACCAGCGATAGATACCGTCACAGCAATCGCTTGACGTAGTGACAACCAATCATCAAAGAGGACCACAGACATCAACTGGGACGAAGACGATAACGGCCGTTGTGCGGTACGAAGGCTTACTATAGTAGCTACTTCCTTGCCAATGCCCGCGATACATAGAGTTAGACTACTGGTCACTTCCACGAGACGATACTCAGTGAATAGTAGGAGGAAGGCCAGAGCTGCTGTAGCACATATTATACATATGGGTAGAACCTGGCGGACGGAGATAATGCAGCTCGCTCGAAAACGATTCCTCACGATATGTTCCTCCCCCGAAGTGTCTATGGGCATAGATAAATGAGGTGCGTCCAATATGATAGCTAAGGGTAGTAGAGCAAGAGCCGATACAGGCTGTGTGAGGTACCTATGGCAGTAGCATAGTGAAGATATTGCACTTGAGCTATTACATCAGTTGTAGTGCACTGAACTGGGTGCACTGGGTTTGGACCAACACCCAACGGAATGCTGTAGATAATACGGCAAGTGCTACGAATAGGATGCCCAACCAGTCGTCCACTCGCATACCTGGTAGGGTAGAGGTTGGGCTACATATACTAGGACTAGTCCTCACCAGGCACACTAGACGATATTGCGACCATTATCGTCAAGGCACAAGCCATTATCGGCCATCGGAATTTCTCGATGCCGAAAAGCAACTACGGTATCATTGGAGATACATTCTAGAAGCGTGTTGTTGTATTACCCCGACTAGATAGGTTACCACAACTGCACTAGACTTTACTACGGTCATCGCTGTGATTGATATCCTGGAGTACGATAGGTTCGAGAATCCAATGTCTGCTGCGGCGCATATAGCAATCGGGATGATACTGAGATGAGGAACTAATACAGGTGAGATGAACCCTGACTATTACGCTCTTATATAATCCTTAGCGGAGATGACAGGCCTATCAAATTTAGCTGGTAAAATAGCGAATAGTAGGTATAGGACAATGGAGGTAGTTGAGAAGTGTATAAAGGTGACGATGAGGGGGAACTTTACTCCAAGGTTCGAAAACAAGTATCTGAGTATCACGGATGTCGCTAAGAGTCGTAAACTGTACGCTTTCGAGGGTGTAGCGCCTGATTGAGTAAACTATTATTACTGCAAAAGTACAATAGCAGTTTAAAACTATAGGCGCTTTGAGTATTATAAGTCTTCAACACATACGCCTGCTAGCAACAACCCTGCTGAGTAAATGCTATTAGTTGGAAAACAATAGGATACATACTTATTCAATGCCGTTATCGACATACTTGTAGCATACCATCCCAATATTGCTAATGCCACTCTGAGCACTTGTTGGCGTGGGTCAGATGTCGAAGGAGATGCAGAGGATGTGCTCATAGTATGTTACCAGTTGAACAGTGGTACCCAAGTCCAGGGCATCTGGCTCAAACGTGAAGGACTGACAGTGGCAGCAGATTCGGATAGTGCTTACTAGAGATAAACTCAACAATAATCATAACAAGAGACAGCAATAGATCATAGTATACCAGCAATCATGTATTCACACTTAGGGCAGAATAAGGCCTGTGAGGCTGTTATAGTATACATATCCTTACTACGGAATATACCACCACAGTTCGGGCATTCTACCTACGTATTATGCATCATCACGGCATCCCTACTCTCGATACTTGTACTTTAATAAGATGGGAGCCTGCCTTCTTAGACCCCAAAGACTCTTGTGCTACGTGGAGGTTACTTAGATTCCCTCTATGTCGCCCTGCTGCTGGACTAGGCCCCGGTATCGCTGCTATTGTATCATATTCATCATTGGTATCATTCCCAGGTACCTGATACACTAGCATGACAGTTGAATTATAGGAATGAAGTATGACCGAGGCTGACGGTGGTGGCGCTGTGATGTTGGTATCATCCTTATCTGCCCTTCGCGAATATGGTACCATCTGACATACTACCGTGGGACACAGTATGTAGTAGTAGTGCGGAATCGTGCCGCATGATACATCAGTTCCCTCTCCGCCTTCCAAACTCCTAGTAATCCTCTCGACTTCCTCTTCACGACGCAAGGCTGCAGTAAGTGATGCCAATAGGCAGGTACAGACAGAGCATACGCTGAGTACCGCCACGCCAATATAGCTGGATGTAATGATATGAGGGAATTGTGTCAGACAACAATCCTACAGGATGAGAGGCTTCTCACTACACTCTGTGAAAGTTGCGTCACATTCTCCTTGGCATCGTGTGGAGTACCTCATACAATGCTAGTAAGGTTAGTGATGTATACTTAGGTTTGGGAAGTACTCTTCCTCCTCACTCCCTAGATCTAGCCTCTCTTCTTCTGTTAGTGTAGCAACTAGTTCCTCCCATCTACCATGTAGTAGGGCATTCTCATAAGCACACCGAATGTCATGTACTTTCTAATACACGTATCAGAGCATATTGTATCCTCTCGTTGACAGGTACTCCCTTCTTCTGATGCCGCCACTATAAGAGCAATGATAGGTAGTAACAGGAGGACCTGCCAGGCATCATCATCATCATCATGGACCTCATGTCAAGCATCCACCGTTACTACAGTAATAGCAAGGTGGAGGGGCCACTGCTCCTTCACTTTCCTACTCCTTTGGATCCTTTCGAGCTCAGCAACGCTCAACATCGACTTACTGTGAGAATGCCAAACTAGGAAATAGATAGCTAATACAATGCAAGACGGCTTAGAATGATGATCTACAACACTATAGGAATGAGAGTAGAAAGGACGATAATGACATATTCAGACAGTATCAGGTCCAACAATGAACCCTGGTGGGTCAGGACCTCTCTTGTCGAAGATATACACCCACTCTCGTACGTTTGAGTACTTTAATTGACTTCTCCCACCATCAGTGTTAGACTACTATCTGCCCATTCGACCAATCTGGATATACGAGTGCCATGGGAGACCCAAGGCCCTCATAAGTGCTGGGCATCAGAATAGTTCCCCTTATTGCCACCCCGCTTTTTGAATCGTCATCGCATAGAGTTCTCAGAACCACTAGTCATGGCCACTCTGCGCTTCAGGTGAGGATACCTCTCTCCAAGATAGCCGAGTATAGCATTGGGAATATGCCAATGTACTGTAGGTGATGGCTGGATAATGGTTAGCTACATATTAACCAATGCCAAGAATAATACGAACAGCGTCCACCGAAGAGAACATCACTACAAGCATTGTCGTGGCAGCCTATAGTATATCTCTGCATATCTCAGTATATTTCTTCGTAACTGACCTCAGCAGTATGAACCTTCTCCATTGGTAACCATGCCTCCTTGGATTCACCCATCATTGTTAGTACCCCGTTTACACTCTCCTCCACTCCCTCATCAGTCCAGTACTCGAGGCATCACTCACGTCGACTAGACCCTCTCCGATGCTGCTGCTACGTCGGTTCTCTTGCCACCGGCATTCTGATAACACTATGATATACCCCTTGCCAATTCAACCATCCACAAGCCTACTAACCGAGCTTATGCGAACCCTCCCCCACTCCTCAAGTCATCCTGCTCCCTTATCTTGCACCACCCAAACCATCCTGGAGCCCTCGTCATGGGGCTCTCCGAATAAATTATAGCCATCCCTAGATGATGCTAGCTGTTCAAAGTCTGCTGTTCTCTTGTCCATCGGTAATTTTCCCGATTCAACACGTATGCGTCGATGGAAGTAAGAAGAGATTATCAGTACCCATCGAGATGCTGCCACGACCTCTCATACTACCACTTACGTCATTCCCGAATAGATCTCCATAATCG